TTACAGATGTGTACCTTCATGCTCAGCCACACACTGGATTTTGATTTGTACACTTGAGTATGTTTGGGTACTTTGGAGTTTGGTACTTTCAGAATCATTTAGCAGTAGAAGTGGTTGTGCAGTCAGTCAATTTCTGTCCAGCTGGAAACCAGCTTCAGATGAAGGCAGGGGGGTGGTCCCAAGTAAAGCGGGGAGAGCAGCTTGGCTTCAACCCTGTTGGATTTATGATGTCAGTGAGGCCACGAGGGCAGACGGGAAAGTAGGCAGAGCCCGGACCCTGCAGGTGACACAAGGTAGCCCTGCCCGCCCTCTGCATCCCTGAGCCGCTGCTGCATAGGGTCCCGGCGCTCAACGTGGAGCCACCGCGAGGTGGCGCCCAGCGTAAAAGATCCGGGCCGCGCAGCGCGGTCCGTGTGCGAGCCCAGGCTGCGGACGGCCACCGGTCCTCTGCTGCTCAAATGGTGGCCAGCGGCATATGGCCAGGTTGCCTGGGTCCCGGGAGGCACCAGTGAAAAGCCACAACTCACAGTGCAGGACGCAGGCCGGGTGAGGACAGGGCGCAAGGGCTTGAAGCAAAACCCAAAACCACTGGAACCAATAAGCTGGTTTTTTATCAAAAGGTGGTTATATTTAAACAAACAAGCAACTATCACAATTTTAGTTCAAAAATGCAATTTAAAAATGGATGGGGGGGGGGGGCTGGCGATTTAGCTCAGCGGCATAAGCGCCTGCCTTGTAAGCAGGCAGTCGTGAGTTCGATCCCTGGTACTGATAAAAGGAAAAAGACAAAAAAAAAAAAAAAAAAAAAAAAAAAAGATCAGGGCCAGGGGTTTTGCTCAGTGTTGTGCTTGCCTGACAAGTGTGAGATTCGTAAGTTTGATCCTCAGTACACGACCCCTCAAAAAAAAGAATCAACTCACAAAAAAGAAAAATACTGCAATGAATTTGAGTAAAATGTGGAGGACCCAGGCTTAAAAAAAAAAATAAATAAATAAATAAATAAATAAATAAAAGCAAGCAACACATGGAGAGACATTCACGACTTGATGAATCATGAATATATGCAGTAGATCCGGAAATTACAGATTTCTACAAATATTCAGATCTTAATCTCTAAAGAACTCATCAGAAATCAAATAAAATTAATTTAAAAATTAGTTTCGCCTGGGTGCAGTGCTATACACCTGCAATTCCATCCCCCAGGAAGCTGAGACAGGAGGATTGCCATGAATTAGGGGCCAACCTGGGCTACATACCGAGTTCAAGGCCAGCCTGAACTTCACGGCCAGACCGTCTCAAAAACAAATTAGTTATGGACAAGAGGCAGTTTTGTTGTTTTTTTTGCGACGGGTCTTGAACTCATGGCAGTCCTCCTGCCTCAGCTTTTATACACCTGGGGTTATAAGAGTTTGCTCCAGCAAAAGGGGACAGTTGTAGAATGAAAAAATTGAAGTCCGGATGAGTGGGTTTGTGTGGTGTGGTTAGCATGAGGCTTCAGTTTGTGCTGCCTTTTAAGGGCTGACAGCTGTGTAAGATGAGGGCCTACCAGTGTCCTACAGAGGAAGGGTTCCACACCCTCCAAACTCTGAACCTCCATGCCCCCAGGTCTCTGGTACCCACTGACAAAGCTGCCCTCATGGTCTCACCTTTCCTGAATGTCATGTCATGACAGCCCTACAGCACCGGGGCCTTGCAGATGGCTTTTGTTTGGCACTATGGGTTGGTGCCTTCCTTTCTTTCGAGGTGCTGGGGATTGAGCAGCTAGGACAAGTGGTCCACTTCCAACCCATAGCCCTAAACCTCCTTGCTATGGCTCGCTGGCTCATTTCTTTTGTCTTTTTGATACAGGGTCTCACTATGCAGTTCAGGCTGGCTGTGAGCTCACTTTGTAGCCCAGGCTGGTCTCAAACTTGCAGATTCTCTTGCCTCAGTCTCCTGAGTGCTGGGGTTGTTTTTTGTCTTTTTGAGGCAGAATCTCACTATGCTGTTCAGGCTTTCAGCTCACAATGTTTCTCCTGCCTCAGCCACCTGAGTGCTGGGATTTCAGGCATGCCCCACACATTTCTTTTATCCTCTAAATTACATTTTATTACATGATTTTTGAAATAACTAAAAAGCCATGTTTTATTTTGACATAGGATCTCAGTAGCCCCAGCTGCTGGTGATCTTGCTGCAGCCTCCTGAGGGCTGGGATTACAGGCGGCACCTACACACCTGGCTATTTTAAAATAGCTGCAGAGAGGCAGCACCAGTGTGAGTGCCGAGCACTCTGGCAAGCAGGGTCACAAGGGAGGGGTGTCCCTAGGGACCAGAGGGCGGCAGCAGGCAGCCAAGGAGCCGAGCTCCAGGTCCCATAGTGGGGCACAACAGGTGCAGGGTGCTGAGGCCTTGCATAACTTTCTGCCTGGCCTACGGGACTTCTGAGCCACCCTTTCCTGGCAGCTGCACTGTGCAGCCCCAGCCCCAGGGCCCAGCCTTTTATAGGTATGCACTTCCCAGGAGCCAGGCACTCAGTACTTGGGCGCTTAGTACCTTCCTGGCCAAATTGGCAGGGGCTGGACTATCCCATGGGACCCTACCATGTCCCCAGGGCCCTAAGGGCCCACTGGCCTTCCCTGCAGCCATTCCCTGGGCACACCCCCACGAGGCTTTAGCAGCTCAGAGGGTCAGAAAGTGCTTCTTGGCCCCAAAGCGGCCTCCCTGGATGTGCTAGGTGTTGTTTCTCCTGCTCAAGGCAATCTTCCTGCCTCAGCCTCCCACAAATAGGAATTACAGGTGTGTACCACCAGGCCCAATGCCCTCTTCATCTGGACTCCAGCCACTTACCTGGTGCAAACCTGAGCCCCTCAAGGTGACCCTGGGAGGGCAATGCAGCCCATGGCTCCCTTTTTAGGGCTCTCTTCCCCACTTGTGGTCCCTTGAGCCTTTTTCTCCTTAGAATTTTGTTTCTCTTTTGGTTGAGACAGTCTTGCTATGTAGCCCAGGCTGTTCTCAAACTCACAGTAGTCCTCCTGCCTCAGCCTCCCAAATGCTGGGATCACAGGTGTGAGTCACCATGCCCAGCTCTCCTTGAAGTTTTCCTTTTTTTTTTTTTTTGGTACCAGATATTGAACTTATGACATCACACGTGCCGCTGAGCTAACCCCCAGCCCCAAGTTTTGTTTTTAGCATTCATCAGTCTTTACTGGACACTGGTTAGTAGGGTATTTTAATGGTGATTTCTATGCTATTTCCTGCATTTCTTCTAGGTTTGGAATTCTTGGGGGGAATGGCTATTCCTTGTTCCTCAGATATTTACTCAATACCTATATATTTAGTTTGAATTCATGGACACTGTTACTGTCATTATTTTGTGCTCAAAACTGTTTTGGCTTTGGCTAGCAGGAACTCTGAAGAAGGTACTGTGTCTTTCTTTCTTTCTTTTCTTTGTGATACGAGGCAAGGATTGAACCCAGGGCTTCTGTACAGCCTGTTTTTTTTTTTTTTTTTTTTTTTGTACAGCCTGTTTTAAAATTTAGAGAGTCTTAGAGCTGGGTGGTGGTGCACGCCTGTAATACCAGCACTCAGGAGGCTGAGGCAGAAGGATTGCTGAGTTTGAGTCCAGCCTGGGATACAAAATGAGCTCAAGGCCAGCTTGAACTGCATAGTGAGACCCTGTCTCAAGAAAATAAATAAATATAGACAGAAATGAAATGTTGAGTCATTAAATTACCAAGTTGGGCTTGAACTTGTTTCTCCTCTTAAGGTGCTGTGACTCCAGGTATGTGCCTCTGAGCCTGGTTTTTGGATTTCTGAAACAGGGTCTGACTGTAGACCAGGTCAGGCTAACTTACTATGTAGCCCAGACTGGCCTTCAACTCACGCTCCTTCTGCCTTGGCCTTCCAAGTGCTGCTGACAGTTGTGTACCACCACACCGGCCACAGTTTCGCCTCTCCTAATTACTTCCTGCAGTGTTTGTTGGACAAGCACTTGACCCTTGTCTTTAAGTGACCTGCCATCACAAGTTCTGCCCGGTGGTACAGTGCCTGAGCTAGTGGAATCCATGTGGCCCAGATGACTGCTGGGTCTTGACACTCACTTTGGGAGGTGAAAACCTCACAGCAGCTTGGTCTGGAAGCTCCCGTGTAGATGGCCTAATTGCGGCTGGCAGGACTGCAGTGATCAAGTCCCATCACGTTCCACCCCACTCTTTCGACACAGCACCTTAATGTGCAGTGCAGGCGGGCCTTGAACTCATTATGTAGCTCAGTCTGGCCTCCAACTCACAGAGATGCTCCTGCCTCAGCCTCCAGAGTGCTGGGATTATAGGCTAAGCTTGAAATTCTGATCCTCCTGCCTGGCCTCCTTGAATGCTGGGTCACAGGTTAAGTGCCTAGGGAAGCTGTGCATTCAAGGCTTGGTCTCCAGCCTGTGGGGCTGTGGATGGCCTCTTCAGCAGGTGTGGCCTGGCAGAAGTTAAGGTTACGATGAGGGCTCCCTAAAGAGGTCACCGGGACCCAAGCCCTTTGCTGGCTCCCTCACTCACCTCTCTTGCATGCCACCTTACAGAGGCCCAGGACAGGGCGCCCAGGGCCCTCAACCTGGACCTCTAACCTGGGGCAAGCCATTCTTCTGTGTCCCTGGGAACTCGTGACAGTAGGAGGGAGCTGAGTGGCAGCCGGGCCCAGCAGTGCCTCCCTAGCTATTTCCTTCCGTGGGCACTGGCCATGAGGGGCCCGATTAGGCTACGTAATGTAAGGGATCCTAGTGGAGGCGGGGAGGGTTTTCATCGCATAAGGCTCGGAACTCACTTCTATTTCCCTACTCTAAACCCAGGCAGGATAAACAGCAATATTTTGATATTTAAAAGGTGCACTGACTTACAATGATGATTAACACTAACTGGCAAAGTTTCTAAGCAATCCCTGCCAACGTGCTCAGCAGCACAGTGCTCAGACTCAAGTCCTCAGCTGTGCACCAAGCCCTGCACCCCGAGCCCCACGCAGACAGGGCCACAGCCTGTGCTCACAGTTCTGTTTATTACCAGGGAGGATCGTGCGCAAAGTAGCAGCCCCGAGTCGCGCTTGCCAGAGCCCCGTCCAACCCACTGTCCAATTCCTGGAAATCCATTCTCAGAGCACCACGGACCACAAGCACTGTCTGGGCGGGAAATGACTGCCACTCTCAGGGTCCTGGGGAAGACTGGGGGACAGTCAGGGAAAACCCCGCGGGGCTGGGGTCAGCAGCTCCCAACACCCACTCCAGGAATCCGTCTCTAGAGCTGGGGACAGCGACCGTGTCTGCCTCCGCTTCTGACGCCGATCAGGAGGCAGGGGCGTGGGGAGCAGCTCTAGGAAACATCAGAGACTAATGGAACAAATGAGACAGGAAAAAAAAAAAAAAAAAAAAAAAGGCAAAACCATGGCCACTATACCTAACCACTAGGCCCTACAAAGGCCTCACTCATATATTCACTGCAATCGCGCGCGCGTGCGCGCGCGCGCGCACACACACACACATCCATCCATCCATCCATCCATCCATTCAGGTGGATACCCAAAGGAAGGCAAATCCAAATGTCCGATCTCTTTGGAATTTTCCAGCCATGGGAGGTTGGGGCAAAGGGGCCTCCCGGGTCCATGCAGATCCCCAGTCCCTGTGGCTCCGGTTCCTCCTCCTCCTCTCCAGACATTCAGGGCTGCCACGCCGGCTTCTCCAGCCCAAGCTCACCTCAAGCCTCTGCACTCAGATTCTTTCGGGAAAGCACCCCAAACGACTCAGGCGCTGGGAAGCTGGCAGAAAGTGAGTTGCACGCAGCAAGGGGTGCCTGCTGCTCTCTGTCCCTGTCAGGCCTGGGGCCGAGGCAGACACCCACAGGTGGCAGATATCCCAGGACAGACGCAGTGGCAGGTCCCAGGGTCCCGCTCCCCAGTGCTGCCTGGAGGCTGCTGTCCATCACTTCCTGGGACCCAGGTGCTCTCCTGACCTCTGGCTCCACATTTCCACAGCCAAGGCCCCAGCCCCTCCGAGGGTCTGGTTGTTGAAAGCCTGCTGGCGGGAGCCTGCCCAGGGTCCTGGGCTACAATCAGCACGAACGATGGAGCCTGGAGGTGGGGTCCCCGCCACCATAGGCAGGCACAGCCACACAAGTCAAGCCGTCCAGCGTGCCCTTTCTTCAGCCCTGCCGTCCCTCTTTCCTCACCACAGCGTGGCTCCCATCCTGCCCGGGCCTGCGCTGCAGCCTTGTCCCCCGTGCTGCGTCAGAGGTCAAGGGACCCAGCCTACTCCAGCCCAGGTCTAAGTGCAGCAGTGCCTGAAAGGCGGGGTCCCACAGGAGGGAAGCCGGGGCTTAGGCAGGTGCGTGCACCACAACCTGGGCAGTCGCTGCCGCAGCCGTAATGCACATCCGGACTGGTGGCTCGACAAGGAAGGGAGAGCTGGGGCAGGGCTGAGGGCGGCGCTGGGCCCCCGCCTCCGCACGCACCGTAACACTGATACCGCAGCCTGCAGATGGCTCGGGTTCACAGGTGGGCAGCAGTCTGTTACAGCCACGGCTTCTTTCTTCTGCGGCTGCGTGAGGCCTTTGGTGGCGGGGAATTTGGCGGCAGCGGTCCTCCAGGAACGGTGCACGCGGCTCAGGCGTGCCCTGCCAGGAGCAGCCGATGGCTGGCGGGAGGCCTCCCGTCCATCCAGACAAACACACATACAGAAAAGGGTTATTGCCAGCTCATGTACTTTCACAATGTGATTTTTGTATTTCGAAAACTTGAATTGTCCCTGGAAGAGAAAATGGGAGAAAACAGAGCACTCAGTGCAGCAACGGCCAGACACTTGCACACGCGCATCCTGGGGCCCCCTTCCTCAACAGCCTAATCCAAACAGCAGCTGCCTCCTCCCTGGCCAGAACTTCACTCCGGGGGCGGTTCTAACAGCAAATGAACGCAGCCACTTCGGTGCAGACTAAAAGGGGCTGGTGAGACAGTAATGTGGAATAGTGACATAGTGTAACACTATGTTGCTCAGAAAAAGAAAAAGCAGCTTCTACTGATGGAAAAGCTCCCCGGGATGGACTCACAGCCTGGAGAGCAGAATGCTGGGCACTTGGCCAGGTACAGTGACACCCCATGGAGGTTAAGGCAAGAGGGTTACTCTGAGGCTGACCCCAGCTACTTAGTTCAAAGCCAGCCTGGATTACACAGGGAGACCCTGTCTCAAAAAACCCACCTCCTGGGGCTGGGGATTTAGCTCAGCAGCATAAGTGCCTGCCTTGCAAGCAGGCAGTCGTAAGTTTGATCCCCCGTACCAATAAAAACGAAAAAGACAAAAAAAAAAAAAAAAAAAAACTACCTCCCCAAGCAAGCCAGCCCCCAGAGCAGTGTGCACACACAGCTACCTTTGGGGAGGTTGGGGGAGAAATAAGGTTATATACTCACATCTGCATACACGTATGCTACAGGGCTTCAAGGTGCCCACGGCGGCAACCTGTACACTAACTAAGCCATGTGATACACAAAACCCACCCATGGCCCTGGTTTAAAACATGGAACTGATGCTGGTGTAGTGTACGTCTGTAATTCCAGCACTTTGGAGGTTGAGGCAGGATGATAGCCAGTTCAGGGCCCGACTGAACTGCACAGTGAGAACCTGCCTAAAAAATAAAGCAAAACCCTATGGAGCTGCTCATCCAGGCGGCGCACACTGAGGCTTCTTCGGCTGAGTCCTGAAGGAGGCTGGGGAAGGGGCGCGCAGCCCCTTGTCACCTTCTGCAGACGCAGTCTGACACCCACTGTGAGCCTTTCCCAAGCAGCCAGTGCCATCTCAGCAATGCATGTCACGACCCGAGCCCCAGTATCTCAGGAGTTCTCCGGCAGGGACTTCAAAGGTCACCCAGCAGCTGTGCTATCTGGGGCTTCAGGTTTAATTCTATGGGTATGGATGGGGACTTTCTCATTCAGCTGGCTTCAGAGTCATTACTGTTTCCGTTTTGATTTAAAGGAACTCTGAAAGGAACCAATCTTAAAGTTGTTAAAAATAACTGAGCCTCTGGAAAAAGGTCCAGAGTAAATAAAAACTGAAGACAGGGAAAGCGTCACCTGTACGTTGGGTGGTGGTGACAGCAGTTGGCATTGAGCCAGAGCCCTGCACCTAGAGGTGGTGGCAGACAAGGACTGCGGGGAGGAGAGCTGCCTGGTGACCTGGCCACCAAGAAATGGATGATCTCTAAATGGTGCCTATGCGCCTGCCCAAGTGACTCATTTAGGGTCATCTGGGCATCTCAGCCATTTTCATCAAAGAGCACAAGGCTGAATACACAGTTAATGGTGGTTATTACTTTAAAAGAGCAATGGTATTAAAAAACTGCTCAGATGGTGAAAAACCTCAAAAGGACAGATTGCTATGAGGAGCCACAAGCAGCCAGCAGAGGATGCGAGCACCACGGGTGGGCCTGCAGGGAGTGGGCTCTGCTCCTCCCCACCCCCTGCACCCTCGATGCCTGGACAGCTGGTCTGGCAGGGACTTGAGGGGAGGGTGCACAGGCAGGGTCATGGGAGACTGTGGAGGAATCTTCTACCCAACTAAGGGAGACAGCAGTTAAGTACCCAACCAGCTCTGGGGGCTACTAAGGGATCCTCAGGCCAGTTACCGCCACAAGCAGCTCATTTGATCTTTTTTAAAAATTTCTTTCTTTGGTACCAGGAATCCAACTCGGGGCCTCCTGCTTACCAGGCAGGAGCTGGGCCTGCTGAGCTGCTTCCCTGCCCCTACTCATTTGATCTTTTGAAAGATTCCTGTACTATCCTGAGGTTGGGCCGGAAATACAATTTTCCTCTATGGTAGGCAGATTTCTCCCACGCTGCCCACTTGGATATGTAGCACCTGCTCCAGTTTCTGTTCTTATTGGAGACCTATTTACCATCTGAAAACCTTCTAGGAAGTCCTACAATTCTGAGGTCCACTTGCAAAATGTGGAGAAAAGTTAAAAAGCTAGGAGAATCCACCTACGAGCTTCTGGAGTGAACAGGCAACAAAGAGCAGGAGGGTGAGTGACTGCCCTTGCTGGGATAGGCAGTGGCAGGATGATGGCCGAGAGGGTTGTGGCTGTGGTCCCGCTTGCTCAAAAAAGTGGGAGAACAGCTTGGCACAACAGCTGGTTTGAGGCCCACCTTTTGCAGTCTGGGGGCCTAGGGTTCACTGCAGACCCAACGCAGAGGGGCAGCAGACAGGGAAAGCGGGCCTGCAGACCTGGGGAGGAAGACGGGAGCTTTTCCCCTTTTCATATGCTTTTGTCCTCTTCAGGGCGAACTAAAATCCAGGAATCCATTGTGAGCTCCGGAAAGCCACCTGGTCGGCTCTGGCCATGCTGATAAGGCATGCGCTACCCTCAGTGTACCACAGAGGACATGGGTGTTCCCAGGGGAGGTGGGACAGTTCTTTTTTGCTGGGTGTGTAACATATGCCTGAAATCTCAGCTACTCCAGAGGCTGAGGCAGGAGAATTGCCTGAGTTCATGAATTTAAGACCAGTCTGGGAAACAGCAAACTTCACTTCAATTAATCAACCAACCAATCATTAAAAAATAATAATAAAGCCGGGCATGGTGGTGAATGCCTATAATCCTAGCATTTGGGAGGCTGGGGCAGGACTGTTCTAAGCTCAAGACCAGCCTGGGCTACAAAGTGAGCTCAAGGCCAACCTGAACTGCATAGCAAGACCCTGTCTCAGTAAAGTAAAATAAAATAAAGGAATATACACCATGGCTAACTAAAGTACTTAGCATACACTGAGTCCCTAGGTTCAATCCCCAGTACTGTGAAGAAAAAAGGGAAAGAAGGCCAGGGATGTAGCTCAGTAGTATAGCGCCTGCCTGGCAAGTGCAAGGTCCTGAGTTCAATTCCTAGTACCAAAAAAACAAAAAAGAAAAAAGTGAAAGAATTGTCTTCTGGATGGGAGACTCTTCCAAACTGGCTTCTAATGACACTGCCTGATACAGCGAGAAAACAAGGCCTACTCTCTGAAATGGCTGTCTACCTGCTCAGCCTCGAAGTGTACCCCTTCTGCATATCTCGACACAATTCTTCCTCGGAAACCCCATGCTAAGGCAGGGGTCAACATGGCAGGCGGCACCGGCAGGCGAGGCACTAGGGCAGAGCACCCCCTAATCCAGAGTTTGGAGTCACTCTGCAGAAGCACCTGGCAAGGAGTCTGCTCAGAGGGTGGGAAGGCTGCTTCAGGTGCCCTCTGCCAGCTGCGTCTGCTCAGGGCAGTTCTGGCTTCCTCTCTCCCTCGCCTTGTCAGTAAAGCCGCAAACTCAGTCTAGGTTCCCAGGGGCAAATCTCTGCCTCTGTTCTCCCACCCAGGGGCCACACTGCTGCGTTTCCCCAGTGACATGGGTCCCTGTCCCGTGCCTGCCAGCCCAGCCATGTAGACAGCCAGGTGTTCCTGGGCTGTGACTCTAGCTGAAGCCATGGCCAAAGGGCAAGGCCCCTTTGTAAGGGAAGTCCAATAAAATAGTTTTACAATACCAACAGTCATATGTAATGACATTATCAATAAATGCAGAAAAGGCTTTGAGGCATTAAAATTGATTGACTGACTGACTACTGGAAATTAAGTGTTGGGCCTCCCATACTCTAGACAAGCACAGCACCACCAACCTGTATCCTGGCCCCTTTCTATTTTACACTGAGCTAAGGTCTCACTACTCATTGTGTGGTGCAACTTCTACCCTCCTAAGCTACTCCATAAGCTACTCATTGTGTGGTGCAACTTCTATCCTCCTACCTCAGCCTCCGAGGTAGGGTAATTGGTGCGCACCACCGCACTCAAAAACTTAGTAGTTTTTCTACCCATTTCTTCATAGAGCATGACCTCCTCAGGAGAAAAACAGAGGAAGAGAGGCTGGAGTGCCACGGACAGTAGAGTGGCAGATGCAGTCAAAGGGTCGGACCCGTCCTATGAAGCCAGCCTACACCAGGGAGACGACACAGGGTCTTAGCCAGGCTCTCCCTCCGCACTCCCAAGTCTGCGCTTCAAGAAGCTACACCTGGGCCATCAAGTACCTGGCAGATACAGACAGACGTGGGCTGCCAGAGGCTGCACAACAGTGATCACACGAGTAGCAGAACTACTCAGAGCAATCCAAAGGCACTTTCTCTTGGGGGATTTAGTGCCTGCTATGTGGAGAGGGAGCTGTTCTAAGTTTTCTTCCATTCTGTTTCAAATGAAGGGTTTTTCTCCATGGAAACTGAGACATCTCATCCCTTCCCACTTGTCAAGTACAAGTGACTCCAGGACCTTCACACTAAAATATAGCTCTGGCCCGTTTTTATTTTGAGACAGGGTCTTGCTAAGTCATTCACCCAGGCTGGGCTCCAACTTGCAATCCTTCTCCCTCATCCCCTCAAAATGCTAGGATCAGAGGTGCATGCCACCATGTCTGGCTCTCAATTTTTGTAACTTTTTTTTTTGAGACAGGGTCTTGCCCGATAAGTTAGGCTGGCCTTGAACTTATGGCAGTCCTCCTGCCTCAGCCTCCTGGGTGCTAGGACTACAGGCATGTGCCACTCACTCAGGTTGCCTTTTTTTTTGGAGACAGTATCTCACAATATAAACTTGCCTTGTACTACTACAATGCCTAGGCTGGCCTCAAACTCCCAGGGATCTTCTTGCCTCAGCCTCCCAAATGCTGTGATTACAAGTATACACTACCATGCCTGGCTCTTGGCTCTCAATTTTAAAAGGTACAAAGAAGTCAAATATGGGGCTGGGGATTTAGCTCAGCGGCATAAGTGCCTGCCTTGTAAGTGCATGGTCATGAGTTCGATCCCCGGTACAGATTAAAAAAAAAAAAGTAAAATACACTGTTCGATTAAATGATGACAAAATTTTCTTATCACACTCAGTTCATCCCAACTTTGAGAATACTAAGAAAAAAAAAACCCTTAAAAATAATTAAGATGGTAATATTATTAACACAATTCCATCACATCACTGTGCTTCTGAGTGTGTATCCAGCCTGCAGGTTCGGAACTTACACTACCAGAGCTGACACGGATCTACATTTTGGAATTCTACAACTTATAAACTACTTTTGAAAATCTGGAACTGCTACCTAAAGACTAAATGTACAGTAGTGGAGGCAGACTATAAAGTGGGGGCACTGCCCACATGCACAGGGGTCCTGCAACTGCTGTCTCCAGGTCACACTGGAGCCACAGAGCACCCAGACCCTCGGCCACCAGCATCTGCCCCACAGTGGCGCTTCTCTCCAGCCAACCTGAGGCATGCAGGCTTCTTCCTGGGAAGGTGACTTGTGAGGTAGCTGCTGCCCCAAACAGGGATGGTGGGGAGGTGGTGGTGGTGGGGTGGTGGTGGTGGTGGGGTGGCAGCCTGGTAGCTTGGAGCAGGCGTTCCTCTGTGGCCCAGGTAAGACACTGGCCTTTCATCCTTCCCTTTCATACTGAATAAACTCACCTACTTCCCGTGCCAGAGACAGACATGGACGTGCGCACAGATGTCTGTAAGGTGGATGCTGCCCTGCGTCCTCCTTGAGCTGACTGTGATGCCCTAGCTCTAGCTGGAGTGCAGCCTGCACCTGTCTCTTATGTGACCAAGTGCACTCCAGCCCATTTACTTGCACTGCTCGAAGTCTGAACTTACAGCACTATTTGTGCATAATCAACAGACACCACCAGCAAATGAGACACATCCCTCACTTAGTCAGGGCCTATGGGACTGCCCTTCTGGCTACAGAACTGCAGCAGACAGTGTGAAAATGGTGTTATTAGAGCCACCAGAAAAAAGCTCGGAGCCATGATAAAACGTCAGCATAAGGGATTTCTGAGACCCACTGTCACTTTCAGGTGGGGGTGAGACGCATAATGAGGCAAAATGAGGGTCCATCAGGAGACATGGGACTGGTCAGGGAGGCTGGATGCTGGCAGGGGCAAGGCTGGGGTCAAAGGGCAAGGGCGTCCCTGTGGGGAGAGGATCCCTCCAGCTGAGGTGTATCATGGGGTTACAGAGAAGGTAGACAAGGCCCTACCCTGAGTGTGAGACAGAGGGGGAGCGCCGATCAGCGGCCGCTGCTGTTCACTAGGCCATGAAACTCCTCCCAGGCCCTGGCAAACCAGAGACAAAAAACACAACAACACATTCAGATCAAACGCTTTTACAGAGAGCAGACACCATCACCCGCCTCCCATCCAGATGTCCCCTAGGATGTGGGGCCAAGGCAGCAGGACTGAGCAGCTAGGCTCCCAATATTTTATTGCTGGGTGGGCAGCTGGCCCTGCCTCTATTGTGCTCGTGTTGGAAGCGTGGCCCTCCTTACTGGAGGATCTGCCACCATGCCCCTGTAGCAACGCCACAGGAGGCCATTGAGGTCAGAGCTGACGCTCAGTCAAGCCCAGAAACATGTCCAACTCTGCAGCAGGGGCAAGAGCAAATCCCCGCCTCCTCCACCTGGAGTCTCCGGGAACAGGTGGTGAAAACCATGATCTCTATCAGGCCTTGCCCCAAGGGCAAAGCCAAGCACCCAACAGCTCTGCGCTGCTGCTGCTGCTGGTGCTGCTGCGAGAGGTACAATGAAGAACTTACACCTTCTCTGCTTGCAGGGTTCCAGACTTGGGCTCTCAATGCGACAGGTTCCCTCTACTTTTTTTAAACACTTGTGTAATAATTATACAAGTGAAGCTGTGGAGGTTACGGCAGAAACAAGGCTCAATGTGATTTGCATGTAGAGTAACTCAATTTGGGAACTGGGCAAAGGAAAGGTTAAGAAACGAGACAGAAAGGATAGGGAGGTTTGTAGGCAGTGTCCAGCAGCAAGGCCTTGGGCACTGCAGGAGAAAGGAACTAGGCGAAGATGACACCTTAGGCACTAGGTGCTCCGCCCAGAGTTACTTTCACCCTTTTAGGCCTGAAGCATTAAGTTCCTTGCAGATTATATATAAAATCCAGGGCTTCTAAACAGGAAGTTCTTTACCATTACTTCATTCTTGGTTTAAGTTCATGACATAGCACGTGGAGTGAAAATATACCGTATTACTAATGATACATTTAATAATGACTACTAAAATACACCTTTTTCCAAGCTTTCCACAGATACCTTCTATAAAAAAAAAAAAAAAAAAAAGAGCAGGCCTAGGAGATATAGTTCAGCAGTGAAGCATCTGCCCAGCATGTGCAGCAAAACCCTGGGTACAACCCCTGCACTGCAAATGAATTGGCTGATTAATTCTTATAAGGAGGGACTACGTGGAGAGACCTGACACAGATCCAACTTCATCTTTCTAAGCATTACTTGTAGCCATCTCATTAGAATTTCTCTTCTGAACGGCGCATCTGTAACTGCTTGTAAGACAATAGTTTCTTCCATGAGCATCACCCAAGCTGCTAAAACAGCTGACTGGCTTGAGGACAAAATGTGAAGACAAGTGTGCTGGACTCTGTTGCTCCCCAAACTCAACTTCCTCAGCAGGACGTGTGTCCTGCAGCCTTTCCTGGAGAGATGGTGACGAGATGCACTCTAAGCCCGTGGGTGATACTGGAAGGCAACTTTACTCTGCACTCCAAATGAAGATGCGGCCAAAGCAAACGCCAATGCTGGGCAGTGACCCCTGGGAAAGCTTTCTTTTAAAAACAGAATTTTAAATTCTACCTTAAACAATAAAGAAAGTTTCAACAAAAACTTAGGCAGCTACGTTGATGCTTCAGCTCTTTTTGATTCCAGAAAAGCCTGCACCTACCACACTAACCTAAACCAAGTAGCTTCTTGAGTCAAGATCCTTCAAGTGGATTTCGGAGCCCCCTCAAATCCACGGTGTTAAACTGCTCTCTCAGTTCCCCTGGAAACAACCTTCCTGTACCTGAAGCCTCAGTGTGAAGAACCTGGGTTTGGAAATTTACTTGCAGATTTCCTAGTAATGAAACAGCTGGTGAAAACCTTGGTATGGTCACTCTTTTGATAGGCCAGTGAGTCTGAATAGACTAGCTATTTTCTACCCTGGCATCAGGTATATTAGGGAATACTGGAATTTTCTTTTTTTTTAATTAAGAAAGAACAAGTTAACAAATGTCAGATGACTGGAATTTCTAAAAACAGAAAAAAAATCACCGAGACTAATACAGCCTACAGGGGATTCTGAGCAGATCCCAATGGCAGAGTTACAAAGGGCCTTGTACAGTCCGCTTGTCCAGCTCACTTACCAGAAAGCAAATTCTGAGAGCAGAGAGATCCTGTTTCTGCATAACGGCACTGTCTTCTACCATGCCAACCTTGCAAGGCTCAGAGCCACGCACGCAGTCAGCCCACTGCTTCCTGCCAACCTTTACTTCCCTCAGGGCTTGGAGAAGCAGCATGGTGGGGCAGCTCAAAACCACAAGCCAGACCAGTGGTAATGCTAGGAGCTGGCTTGGTCCTTGCCTGTACATTGGTAACTTCTAGACGCAGTGAAGGATCCCAACTACAGCAGTCACTGTGGTGGAGCACAGGGGAGCCCCCCCACCTTCACCTCACTGCAGAGGCAGCTGGTCAGGCTTGCCCAGCACTGCAGTCCCACCAGGAAGCTGCCTGCCTTCTCTTCCCATCCCAGAGCAGTCTCCTCACAAGACAGTGCTGTCTACACAGCCGGCATCCCGCTCTATCCTATAGGCCCCATGATGGTGGCTGTCATGACATCCCTCCTCAAAGCAGAGGACACAGCAAGTTGCTTGACACTTGTAAGGACAAAACTTGATGAAAACTCAAGTGTGATCTGGCCTCATTAAAAGGAGCCATGACACGAACAAGACCCCTCCTTCTTGAGCTCCATGTCTCCAGGATGATCAGGACTAAATAAGCACAAAGCTCCACGGCTCGCCTGGGGTGCAGCAGGCAGTCACAGCAGGGGGTGTGGACAGCTAAGAAGACCAAGATGAAGGACGCTGGAAACGACAAGAGCAAGCTGAAGGGCAGTGCTAGGCAGACCCTGGGCACCTCCTTGAGACATGCCCTTGGTCTCTCAGCAGCCCTCACCTCAGGAGGACCCTGGGAGACCACTGATGGCACTGCCTTCCTTTCCCTTGGAGTCTCAAGTCCCAGCACTTGCTGTGCCTGGGCTCAGCTATGTGCAGGGGCACAGCTATGGACAGCCCCGGCAGACTAATGCACAACTATTTCTGACTTCTCACGTGTGACTGGGGTCCGAGAGGCCTCAAGGTCAGCCTGGTGCTGCCTGATCAACTCTTGCTCCGCAGGATGACACTAAGCTGGAGCAGTACAATGCAGCTGGAGTTCAGGTCAACACATGTAATGAGACGGTGGAAGGCGGGTGGGGGCCAGAAGTGGTCATTCTTTGATTGAGGCTAAAAGCAGAGAATGGGTTTTTCCATTTCCCAGAAAATCTCTAGTATTCTAAATACTTCAATCAGTTCGGGGGATGCAATAAACGGAGACAGGACACAGACACTCCCTCAATGCCGAGCTCGGGGGATTAGGAGCCTGGGCCCCCTGGAGACCGCAGTAAGTCTGAGTGGTATCGTGCCACTGCTACTGTAGAGACCATTCAGCCACTTTCATGGATCCTCTGCAGGAGGCACTCCCAAGACATGCAAAAATGATTACCTATAGCGGTGGAGGAGGGAGACTCCTCAGAAAGTCTAAGAGAAAACAAGGCTAGCAGAAGCTCTCCATGCAGGGTAGTTGCCAAAGGGCATGCTGTAGTACGCACAAGCCACAGCCGCAAGGCTCACAGGAGGCTGGGGTGTACACGCCCACAGGGGCCCACGTACCCTGGGCTGGGGAGGGAAGGCTACCCCTGAGATTGTGCACATAGACCAGCTCCAAGAACAAGATGACCTGGCTCTGTAGGGAAAGCAGAAGATAGGAGGCTGGCAGCGAGCTTGAACCTGGGCAGCTCTGGCACCAGAGAACACCGTTAGCACAAAGCAAGGATGTTGCATGTGTGTGGCCACACACAGATGGAAGCAGGGCTTTACCTCTGAGCGAGAGCTTTCTCTAAAGTAAAAGCAAATGGAAATCGGCAAAGCAAAGGCCAAGGATCCTTCTCCCCACCCTTTACAAACTTCCAAGCAGAACTCAAATCAGAAACCACCCTGGCTGGTCTTCACTGTGATCAGATGGGAGCTGAATTCAAGCACTATGGAACAGGGTCTTTTTGAGAACTACAGGCTCTCAGGACATCAGACCTCAACAGTCCTGGGACCACGTACCACACCACACGAAATGGGGCTCCTGGAAACAAGGCTGCTTTCCCCAGATGACCCTGCATACAGAAGTCTGTGCCATCCCTTAGCATGGTGACAGTCGGTCCGAAGGTCACATCTTGATGCACCATAAAGAGCAAGAGCATGAGACAAGCTAGTTTAGCACCGTTTATTTGTGATCTCAGCTTCTGGCGTAGCTGCCGCAAGTCAGCCTTTCTCAAACACAACATGCTCTTCCATTCCTCTTGTCCGGGACAGAAGGGTCTTCCAGGAGGCACACCAACACAACAAGGAACTCCGTTGATGCCAGCTTCAATGATGGTGCCATCCAGAGAGGGAGAGGGTCATGGCACATTCAACCGCGGCTTCCAGAGGTTTTGAAAAAGTAGTCTTTGGGGGCCCAGCCTGCCTGGCATTCTAGTGGAAGTGCAAAAGGTGGCTCATTGGGAGAGGAAAGAGATGGGGGACAGGAGGGAGGCGGCGTCTGGGTCTGGAGGAGGGTGTTCTGGCCCCACAGTGCTAGGGCTGGAGCCTAAGACATACTCTGGAGAAGGCAGTGCAGCAGGCCAGCCTGCTGTCAGACTAAGAAAAGGGCTGTGGGCTCTGCTGGACTCTGGAGGCCTTATGTGTGCTTTCACAGTAGTCAGGATGAATCAGCTCAGGGTATCAGGAAGGGAGAACCACGGAGAGGGGAGAGGGGACCACAGATACCTCCTCCTTCCCTGCCTCACCTACATGTGAAGCTGGCTCTGGGTTGGGAGGGTGGGGAAAAACTTGAGAGTCTTGGAAATGAGAACTCTACAAACAGGTCTTTCCAGCCTGGACAGAGCCTGGCAGAAAGGCAACAACTACCGGTGCCCCAGAACAGAGAACAAGGCAGATGTGGCTCAAGAAGACAGCACTAACACCGCTGCCGAGGCAAGCCCCGGGGCCAGCGCTGGCCAGGGACTGTGGTGGCTACAATGGTCATAGCCAGTCACATGACTACAGACTAACACCCGCAGCAGTGTGCCAGGGAGGCTGGCCCCAAGTGGGCAGAAGCAACCCCACTCACAAAGCCTGGGAAAGAGATTCTCAAGTGGTCTGCTGCCAAACACATCACCGGGCTCACTACTGGTCTTCAGTAAGAACCACATGATGGTGGCATTCCTAGCGATGGTGATGACAGCAGCATGATGTTTGGCCTACTAAGAGCTTTTCCCTGAGGACTTCTGCTCACAAAGATTCCATTGCCCTCCTCACAAATGCAAAGCATTACTGTCCCCCAGTGTTTAGCTGGGGAAGCTGAAGCAAGAGCTGCACAGCGACTCGCCAAAGGCACGGACTGATTCGTGGCCACGGAGACAACTGGACTTAAGTCCGGCCCCTGCTGGCTGCTCTCACTCCCCATGGAGACATCCTGGCATTTACTCCCACAAGCTTCTCGCTATGGCCTGGGCTTGTCCCTGACCCTTGATCACTAAAGGAGCAGGCTTGCTGGTGACTCGCCCTGCAGAGTGCTCGCTGCCCAGGCCAGAGGAGCTGTCACAGCTGTTCCCTGCATTCTCCTCCCTCACACACCACCCTGCCTTCTCTATGGCTTCAGCTCTACATGCAAACAAATGGCGGCATCAGGCCTGTTAAGCAGTTAATCTCCAGGATAAGAGAACAGACTGAAGCTGAGAGGTTAAACAGACATGCAAAAGGAAGGTAGGGGATGGGTAGGGGAGAGGACTTTACTGTTTGGTGAAATTACCTTAAAAAGCAGCTGAATAAAGAAAAATGCTTTGCTTTCCCTTCAGATAGTGATTAGCATGGGAAAGGCCAGACAGCCTGGAGAAATGAAGCCAGAATAGGCAGTGAAATTGACTCTGCACAAGGGCTCTGTCCCAACACACCCTTCGGCATAGGGGAGGAGACCTCGCCAACAGTACCGCACAGAGTGGCTGAGGCAAAGAGGGGCTGGCTTGTCAGGTCTGCCTCCTCTCCATAAGCCAATCTTCTGCACAACCATGAGCCTCTGGGCCTCACTACAGAACTACTTCTGCTAAGTTCAGGGGCCTGCCCCCCCCCCAGTACCCCCAACACGTACTTGATGCTGTCGGTGTGAGTTTTGTATTCCATAATGGTGTTGGGAGGTAGGTTAAGCACGCGCCGAAGTGTGTCCCGGATTCGGGCTGTGGTCGCTTGGTCACTGGCAGTTTTATTCCATATGGAAATAATGTCCTCCTATGGGAGAGCGAAGGCATTAGCAAGCAGACTAGAGGCAGGGAGGGGAGCGGGGCAACGTGGGAACGGATTGGAACGGATTCCAAGGTGCTTACCTGGAAGCGGACAGAGACCACAGCCCCACAGATCTCCTCCCCAACCATGAACTGCTCCCCCAGCAGGGCCAGGATGAGGTTCTCCCAGCATCGGGAGGCCAAGCCCTTCCGCAGCCGAATGATCCACTTGCCACCATTTTTATTTGCATCGTCCTATAAAAAGGCAGAAAATGTTCACATTCAAATGTTGGTTCACAGCTGCTTCTCTTACATTAAAGCAGTGAAAAGCCAAGAACCCCTTGAATACTGGGATTATGCAATTTATACAAAAAAAAAATCGATGCTAGGACTAAAGAGAGAAGAAACTGGGAAGAAAAAGAAAAACAAAGGGATCTTCAGCACATGCTATTTCTTTTCTTTTTTTTTGGTTCCGAGGATTGAACTCAGGACTGCCTGCTTGCAAGGCAGGCGCTTATGCTGCTGAGCTAAATCCCCAGCCCAAGCACGTGCTATTTCAAAAGATGGTCACAAAGATCTTTCTAAAGGAATGCTGTTATCAGAACTACTTTAGGAATTAAAGTACTGTCAGATTTGAAAGAGGCCATTGCTTCACTAATAAAAGTTCACTGAGTGTCACTGTGTACCAAGTGCTGTCAAGAAGCCCCAATGTCTACTCCGATCCATAGTGGCAGAGACAGACAGGAGAGCAGTGACAGCCACGCAGACAGACTAAGGCTGCTGGAGAGCCGAGCGGTGGGTTAACCCAGAAGCTGATAGCTGCAAATAGGCAGGTAAAGTGCAAGCACACGGTATGGGCACCAGGAAGAACACATGTGTGCACAGGCTGTGAGGCGGAGATGTGCAAAGAGGGGCTTGCTGCAAGGAAAGGAGGACTTGGGGATGACGAGGATGAGGCTTGGAAGGCAGACTTCATGCAAGCTCATGGAGGCAATGACAGAACGGCTCTGCAAGAGGCCAGAGCTTAGCTCTGGGTCTCGAGTTATTGCCTTTATTTCCAACCACTTAAACCACATGTAAAAATCGTATACACTGGGGCCTGAACTCATGACCTTGTGCTTGTCAGGCAGGTACTTTGCTGCTGAGCTATATCCCCAGTGTATAAATATTTCTAAATTAAGTTCATTGGTGCATTTTAGGTATACACTATGATCACACTGATCATAGGGAATTTGTATCTGTACATGATACATTTTGATTCATTTTTCCCCATTCCTCTAACTCTCCCTTCAACCTTTCTTTCTCTCTCTATTTACAAAAGCTTTTGTTGGCTGGGGGTTTAACTCAGAGGTGTAAGTGCCTGCTTGGCAAACATGAATTCGTGAGTTCAATCCCCAGTACCCTCAAAAAAAAAAAAAAAAAAAGGCTTTGTTTTTATTTTTCCCTTCCTTCCTTCCCCCTCCCTAGTTTCCCTCCCCATTTGAGCACTTTTTCCCTATTTCTATTATCTATCATATGTACAATATCTATGTACGATATGTACAGTATCTATTATACATTTGGTCCTTATTTTACACTTTTGGTTTCTCACATTGGAGACACTATTTAAAAATATTATACATACACACAAATGAGTTTTGTGGGGACAAGGCCAACTTAAAAATGAAACAAAAAAATCCACCCTTTAATGCTGCAATAATACCATTTGGGTAGTAACACCATCATTAAAAAACCACCCAGCACCAATCAACCAATGCAGACACACAATGGCATTACTGCTTTTCCCTAGGGGTTCCCAGAATATATCCAATAATGTTGCAGTTTTGTTTTGCTTTGTTTCCTCTGGAGATAGGATTTCACTATGCAGTTCAGGCTGGCCAACTTGTAGCAATTCTCCTGCCTCAGCCTTCTGAATGCTAGGATTACAGAAGCACACCACTGCACTCAGCTAGTATTACAGTTTTTTTTTGGTCTTTTTTGTTTTTATTGGTACCAGGGATCGAACTTACAACTGCCTGCTTGCAAGGCAGGCGCTTATGCCACTGAGCTAAATCCCCAGCCCCTAGTATTACAGTTTTGAAGACTTTAAAAATAGTTTTAACTTTGGCCAAAGATAAAAAAGAAAGGAAAAAACCAAGAAAACAGTAAAGCAAAGCAGAGGCCATCAGTCCTCACCTCCCACATGGGTTTAATTCCTTCTTTGAAGAGATGGAAGTCACTGTGTCCTGTCAGGTCCCCGGGACGAACCATGTGGCTATAAAACCTCCAGAACTGCTCCACCTGCAGGGAGAAGACCCCAGAGCACAAGGATGTAACTCTCCTTTCGTGCTCTGAGTGCACCTGAAGGTCTGAGATTTACTTAAGAACAGAGGCATGCAAGGCACTCTGCTACGGCTAGAGGAAAGGCATGTTACACAGTTGGTCTAAAGAACAATGTATTATTGACAACACAAGAATGACCTCCTCAGATGAGAAATGCTAGACTCCTCACATGGGTCCACACTTGCCATCAGAGATGCAGGGGAACTGTCACATATAGGAGGAGGACCAGCGGTTTGCAAAAAGGTGACTTATATTAAGCACCACACAGCCTCACCCTGAATGCAGTTTTTGGAACCAAACCAATTCTTAACCAAATCATTGAACTGGCAAACACAGTGTCAGCTGGAATGAAACCACTTTAGTACTGCTTGGTCACTGAGCAAAGTGACAGAAGCAACCACGTTACTGCTGCAGGGTGCTCTTGCTAATAAGGCTGGGGCAGTCCAAATGGACTTAGCTTCTCAGCTATAGTTTAACTTTTTTTTGTTTTTTGTTTGTTTTTGGTTTTTGAGTCAGGCTCTCCCTTTGTATTCAGGTTGACTTTGAACTCACTATGTAGCCCAGGCTGGTCTTGAACTTGCGGCAATCCTACCTCAGCCTTCTGAGTGCTGGCAATACTGGTCAATGCCACCACATCTAGCTTAAATCTTTCTCCTTAGAAAAATTATTTTTTTCCTTGCCTCTGCTTCAAATTGTTAGAAAACTAGTCTTATTTTCTCTTAAATGTATGCTTATTTATAGTCATCACACTGGCCTCATTTAGTGCCTTGGCAGGAGACAGTAACCCTCTGTATTGCAGAGTACACTGCTACCTGCTGAGTAGCAGAGAGAGGCACACAGCAGAAGGGAGGAAAAACACACCAGAAGTCTGAGAAGTGACTGCTCACTGTATTCACCAACACCATGTTGAGGAGACTAAATCAACAGGGGGCCCAACATCAGAGCTATGTAGTGGACAACGGGTGTGGGCTGAGATTCTGGTCAAACTTCTAGATCTGGGTAGCAAGCGAGGAGAACGTGATCTAGGCTGCATGAAATGGCCTTGTCCCAAATTCTTCTCTGGAAGTGCAATATGAGGGAATAGGTGAAGAACAGGCCATTCACAGGACTTCAATGCAATGCCTCACACCATCAAGTGCTCAGCGCAAGTGCACAAGATGTTGTGGACCCTGAGGTGCCTATAATACCTAACTAACCCAGTCTTCTGAGTGCTGGGAGGGCACCATGCCCAGCCCACCTGATGTCCTGAATTTCATGCACAGACTTTAAACACTGTCCAGCATTCAGTGAGTATTGAAGGTGCATCAACTCACGGGTGTGCTGATGACAAAGCACTTACCATAGGTGCGACCAAGAGAAAAATAAGACACAAACCCTCTTTGTATGAGCTGGGTTAATTCATACAGGCTTTTTTGTGAAAGAGAAAGAAAAATGCAAGACACACTGTACTCCTAGCTACAAGTAATTTAACGGAATCCTTTAGGAAAACATACCATCCAGTCCAGTTTCTTTTTTGACCTTCCAAGCCTCTCACCAGCTCTGTCTAACATAATAACTGCCTTTTACCTGTGCTGTCTGGCATTCCAATGCAGTAGGTAATCGTGGCTTTTGTGATGGGTTCAGGGATATTAGAAAGGCGTGGATATTTTAAAAGTTTAATGATACTGTTTACTCCACCAATAATTCGTTTCTTATCATCTGTTCAAATCTTTTAAGCTCACTCTTCAGCCCATGTGCTCTAAGGCAGCTTTTGCCAAGATGGCACAGACCCTTTTTCCCTAGGAGTGCCAAGGGTGCTCTAGCTATGCTGTTATGGCCAACATCTAGACTGTCCCCTAAAAGCCACATAGTGTTCAGAAGTGGTGCATTCAGCAGGTGACTGGATCACAGTGCTGCTATCAATGACTGTTAGGAGGCAGGGGTGTCTTCTTCCCTCCTCCCACTTTCCCCTCTGCTTCTGGCTGCCATGGGATGAATATCTGCCCTCTACCTGGGCTCTCCTACCCCAGCATTTCCACTTTGGAGCTGGCCAACCATGAACTGAAACAGGAGCCACAATAAAGCTCTCTTCCTTTAAGCTGTGGGTGCTGGGTATTTTGCCCCAGTCATAAGAAAATAGCAGCCACATGCCTTTCCTGCAGCCCCACGGGCTACCCTGTAGCAAAAATAATCAGACTTGCCCCTTTTCACCAGTCTCTGTGCCTTCATTCTTTTTAGAACCTTACTATATCCTTCAACTCATTCAACATTGCTTGAATCAAATATGGACCAATGCACAAGCCATTTGGAATATTTTTAAGAAGCCTAAAGTTATCAGTTACAAGGCAGCAGAACCCAACCAAACAAGGCCTTTGCACCAGGCTGAAACCATACCAATGTGGCAAAGCAATATTGCTGATCCACATTAAGCAGACAATCTTATTCCCAGTGAAATGTGTGTATGTGATTAACAAGCAATAGAAAGTAAATACTGTAACCTTGTGCCACACGGTATGGTATACTGTTGGGCTTTGAATCTGACTTTCACAGCCCATCAAACCCGAGTTTCACTGCACATCCCAGCTTAACTGAGTCAAGTGTGGCTGTGTCGCACCTGACATGCTCCATTTGTAAAACATGACCCAATAGGGCTACTAAAACAACTGAAGGAAACTAAACAATTCTATCACTCACTGCATCCTTCTTTTTTATTAGCTTATTGTAGTGTTTACAATTATAGTACCGCATTCTCTTCCAGATTTTGCATTTTGAACAAGACAAAATCTTAGTAAGTTTAAGAGAACGTACAGCACTCAGAGGTAATGATCGTTATCAAACAAACCAGAGTGGTGTTAACTGCGGTCAGTCTCTAGGCTCACAAACACATCACTTGTGGGAAGGTGAGCTAAAACTGAACACTTAGTACGACAGCAGCCACAAAAGCAATTATTGGAGACTTCATTTTCTTTATGAAAATGGATGATACTTTATGCATAATCCCTATCTTAGCAAAATCTTAACAGGAAGCTCTTAAATACAAAAGAAAATTTCAAACTTTGCTTTTAACTTTATTGTCCAACTTCATGAGGATAGACATCATTTACTATAAAATCTTGTACCCTCATGTGACTGTGTACACTAAGACTCTATATCTACTTAGAACATGCAGTTATGCATCATTTATGTGCATGTCCTTCTGTTCAAAACCACTGCTCTCAGATTTGTCGATACTTACTTGTTAATTATGGACAGCCGATGAGAAACCTAGGAATGAAAAACTGACCATGGGCCTAAGGTTACTCAAGGAAGAAAACCAGAGCATTAAGCAGGTTCCTGGGAAGGTAGGCAAACAGATGACAAAGCACAGGCATAAGCATCTTACCAAGGCACACTCCATGAAACCACCGAGTACTCACTGAGGCAAAGGTGCCAATCTGCTTGATATTCTGTTCGTAGCTCTGCGAGCTGGTAGGGCGGCCTGGGGTCCTTCTGGAGTACCAGAAAGTGTAGTTGTACTGCAAGGGATGCTCTGCTGGTCCAGGGACAACAGCCTGGGAAGCGAATAAGGTAGGTGACGCCCTGGGCATTTGTCACATGCTGAGACTGTGTCACATTTTATCACTTCCACAATTAAGATACCTCAATTCCTTGCACTGTGCCCAAGAGTCTGCTCACACAGTCAATTTCCTTAGTGTGTTAAATGATTCTAAACTCCTAGGACACTTTATCTGGTTCTTAGGATGTTCACAGCTTTCTCCTTCATACCATAGGTATTATTTTAATACTTTTAGCTATGTACATGTGTGTGGTACTGGGGATTTAATCCAGAACCTTCATCCTGAGCTACATTCTCAGCCCATTTTGTAATTCTGAGACAGCTGCCAGGTTAACCAGGCTGGACTTGAATTCGCAATCCTCCTCCCTCAGCCTTCCAGGGAATCCCCCCACCTCAGGCACATCACAGACATTTATGTTTCCATTTTATCTCAGCCCCAGCACTGCCTTCTCTGTGACACTCATTACTTAGGAGCAGCAGGCTGCTTACCCTGCTTACGACTCGGCTTCTTATCTGCATAACAGGAAGAATAAGAACCACCCCACAGGACTGCTGAGAGGATCAAGTCAATTTGCAGATGTACAGTGCTCCCTGCCTGGCACAGGGTGCATCCTCAATAAATGTCTGTGACTGCTACAATTGCCATTATTAAATACAAGGTCCTGGACCCACAGGCACATTCACCTGCAGGTCTTCTCAGCACCTAGCAGAAAAATGCTTGCGTTTGGAGAGTACTCAATAGTTTAGAGTAAATAATGATTTCCTTGATGTCTCAAGGGAAAAAACCAATTCACCTATCTTTCATTCCATATATATATATATATATATATATTTTTTTTTTTTTTTTTTTTTTTTTTTTCTCTTTTCTCGGTACTGGGGATGGAACTCATGATCTCATGCTTGTCAGGCAGATGCTTGTGCCATTGAATTATACCCCTGGCTAAATTTTCTCTTTTCCAAGGTCCTTCCAACTTGAGACTATTACTGATTTAAGAGCCTCAAAGTTTAGGGGATATGTACGATTTGAACTACTTAGCAGCAGCTTCTGAAGCAGCTACCAGCCCAGCTAATGTCAGGAATAACTTCTGTAATCCAGGTAAAAAGACTGATACAATCAAGTCAGCATCTCATGATCTTCTAGGAAGAGCAAAAGTCTAAGGCCCATAATGAACTCCAGGAATTTCACAATCATTTTTTGAAAACAAAACCAGCCAAGTGTGATGGTGCATGCTTATAATCTCGGCACTCAGAAGGCTGAGGCAGGAGGACTGCCAGGAGTTCGAAGCCAAACCCTATCTCAACAAAAAACAAAACAAAACAATCCAGATATTAGAAAATAAGAGACTATCAAGTTAACCTGGTATCTTTCAGATAAATATTCCACAAGACAAGTGAGGCTAAGCACAAAACATACCTTCCTCTTGCTGCTGCTCTGACTCTTGTCTCGTTCTGTTTTTTCCTTCTCACCATCTTTCTGTGTGCTGTTTTCTTCATTCTGATCATGGTCTCCACTGTCATCATCTTTCAAGCTGAATGGGATGGCAAAACTGTTATTTGATGACCAAGTTGATTCCTGGCACCTTAATAAAGCTACAAGGCCATGCAAACTATCATATGAGGAGCCCAAGATCATTCAACATACAGGCCCATGAGACACAGCTGAGACGAGAGAACAAAAGAATACAGACATAAACAAGATAAAAAAAAAAAAAGAAATGCCCATCAGCTAACTTGTGAGCCCCACAAAAAAACAGTCTTTTGGTTTTCTAACAAGCTGAACAATAGAATAGCTTACGAGATTGATTTCTTTGCCAAAAATAGTCAATCATGAGAAGTATATAAAAATAAGAGAGAGAGAGAGAGAGAGACAGAGAGAGAGAGAGAGACAGAGAGAGAGACAGAGAGAGAAGTTTGTGTATGACACTACGAATGAAAGTTAAAGGAGGCCAGGGATTTAGCTCAGTGGCACACAGCCTGCATGGCAAGTGTGAGGTTCTAAGGTTGACAATTTTTTTTGGTGCCAGGGATTGAACTCATGACCTCAAGTTTGCCAAGCAGACGCTTACACCACTGAGCTAAACTCCCAGCTGTAGGTCCTAAGTTTGATTCCCGGTAAATACCCCAACTACCACCGGGGAAAAAAACAGGTTAAAAATTCAACCATCTGGACCACCTCCAGGCTTACCTTACCACTTCCCCCAGGCTTTGCCACTGTTACACTCATGCTCTTTTCTGTTACTTTAATTACAGTAAGTCCTGAAACAGGTTCCCTAACATAGATTTCTGTTCTGTACCCATCCTGTGGAGTCATTACCTTTCTAAACATAGCTGATCATTTCATTTCATCCTGAAGACTTGACGCGCCCACCCTCCAGAATAAAGTACCAGGACAACACCTAAGTCTCTTATCTAGACTCTGACTCCTCCAGCAACCTGTATTCCTACCTGGGGCCACTTGCAAACACTACCCTGCAGCCTGAGGTGCTGTTCCTCTTGTGTTTCTCTACTGGGCGTTGAGTTCCCTCAGGGCAGTGTCTTGCATCATTGCACTCAGGACAAAAAGATGCCGAATAAATGTTAAATGAAAAGGAAAAACGAAACAGTGAGCCAGACCATTCGCTCAGCATGGATTTTCTCCAGAATAATCTTTCTGGTTCCATGATTTTATGTACTATATAATCAGATAAAATTAGGCAAATCTCAACAAAGGGACCAGAATTGCTCCAACTGTACCCAAATAACATCCTACACAGATATAGAAACAAACCATAGGATACTTTACATCTGTAGGTTTTTCTCCTTTTCCACCATGAATCCCCAGTGCCTAACACAAAGTGTGCAGTAAATATGACACAGGATGAACCAGCCATGTGCTAGAGAGCCTGCTTTGCTAAATCACTGCCTGAGCTGTAGGAGACACTCAGCGGCTACTGCCTTGTGCCAGGACCCACTCCATACTTACCCTGGCCAAGATTTTGTGGGTGTGGTGGTACATGCCTGTGGTCCTAGCATGCAAGAAGGATGAGGCAGGTGGATGCCAAATTTCACTCCAGCCTGGGCAACTCAGTGACTAAGCCCATCTCAAAATAAAAAATTAAAGAAAGGGCTGGAAATAATAGCTCAGTGTGAAGGCCCTGGGTTTTAACTCCCAGTACCTAAAGCAGTAGTTGTCCAGCTTGGCCTCAGGGCCTTACTCAAAAATAAGAGCCCGGGCCGATGATTTAGCTAGCGCAGTGGCATAAGTGTCTGCCTGGTAAGCGCAAGGTCATGAGTTCTATCCCCAGTACCCAAAAGAAAAAAAAAAAGAGCTGATTTCTCCCTCAACATTTCACTGAGGCAAGGAAAAGACCACAGGCTCAGGTTGTAGGGCAGCTATATGGGAACCATGCAAGAAAAGCTATGAGTGCATTAAGACAAGAAAAAACAAAAACAAAAAATACCAATGGAGGGAAAGAGGATGGTACAGGAGAGGGTGGAGAAGTGGACTTGGCTGTCACTAATGCTGCTATTTTCCAGCTTTATTCAGCCTCCTTGGACTACTGGGAGACCACTGCCTGTGCCTAAGAACACCCCAATTAAACTGTTTTCCTTTTTCAAAGGAGCCTTGCCTAGTACACAAATCCTGAGAATTAAAAATTACTATTGTTTACCAAACATTTACTATGTACTACCTCCTGGAGTGCCTGTCCCCAAGGACCTAACCAGAGAGGGCTACCCTGTTCTGCCTGTGGGTCCCAGAAGCATCTCCTGCCTGTCCCCCACAGATTCCTTTGACTCCGTTTGTATCAATCTAAGTGCAGTTCCTCAGTCTTACCACTCAGTTCCAAGTTCTGCTCGGTGTGTCCCCTAGCTAATGGTCCTGCGGGATATACTTTGTCCTGACCCCTCCCAACGCAGGTTCTGTCAGGCTCCCCTCTTCGGAATATTCAGGCTTCGGACAGCTTTGCATTCTCCTTTCTACAGGGTGTGCCCAAGAGATGTAAACCTTTCCCCCTCTTCTCTGCTTTCAGCTCACATTAAAGCCTCTGTGGCCCCCTCCATTAGATCTTGGATGAAAAAAAGCAATCATCCCATCATCTCCCATTTCGCTAATCTCAAGAAAAGAACATCTATTCCTTTCATTTAGTATTTTCCCTGCTAATCACTACCAGGACACAAAAACAATATCAATAGAAGAAAAATATTACTGTGATCCCTGGATTACTTCTTCACTCCCTTCTAAACTGTAAATGTAAATCCCACAGAAGTTCACCTAGTGCTTTTGTTTCTCAAGGGCGGAGTTAACTACCACACTGCCCTTCAAGCCCACACTCAGGCGAACCTTTCACAATCTCTTTCCCAGAGGTTGTCTTCCCAACTTAAATAAGCTGGGTGTGAGCCAAGATAGAGCCCAGAATGAAAATTCAGTGCTCCACAGACTCAGGCTGGTAACTTCCACTGGAAACCAAACGGAACCTCGGCTAGCTCACTAGGCTTTGGCTCAGGTAGTTCCTCATAGGCTCTGGGCTAGACCAGTATGTGTGGGTTCGAATTTAAGCCAATTCACCTGTGACTCTCCAGCATCAGACAGTAGCATAAAATAAAGTCCGTTTAATTAATAGATTTCTAAAATCAAGGTGATGAGTGCCAGATAAGTGATTCATACAATAATTTAAAGGATGGGTCAAAAGCATACTATATAGGATGAACAGTGACAAAGTCAAGCAATGGCACCTAGAAAACTGAGATCTGAAAAACAAGTTATCACAGTGAAGACTTATGTTCTCGGGAAAACATCTTAAAGTTTCACATATCAATAGGATCAGTGGCAGCAGGGTCTCAAGACTTGATAGGTCTATAATCCCTGCAACCCTCCCCAAAGGAATGACAATCTTTGGTTTCACACACAGAAGCAAAATGTAAAGGAGGTTACTGTTCTTTAACCTGTGCCCATGAGATTACACTGCTTCCTCAGTTCCAAGCACTGCCTTGAAAGGATTCTGACAAACTGGAACACACCCTGAATGCTGTATGGTGAAGAAAGCGCACTGTAACTATGTAACAACCAACCGCCTAAAAGCTGCAGAATGTGTTCATGAAAGAAACAAAAAACACAAAGGAAACAGGGACACATGTCAGTTGCTCATCTCAAGTAAAAGAAAAAAATCTTTTTATTTCTGCCAAGAGAATAGATGATAAAAGATCCTGACTCAGTACAACAGCTAATAATTAGAAGACATTAAGTGACTCCAGTCAATGTCTGCCAAGAAACACTTGAACCAAACTCGGACTGCCTCTCCACTGTCTTACACAAGTTAACTTTCCAGAACCTCATCTGCTTGATTTTAAGAACAGTACAAGAGCTCCTTTGCAGAGTCACTAGAAAGAACAGAAATACCAAAAAGATGGCTGTTGGAAGCCCATTATTACTGTTTTTATTGCACATCCCTACACTATTTGGATAGGACGCAATCTGACTTGGTCATGTTAATGAAAAAAGGGTGTAACGGGTGCATAAAGCACTACACAGGCAAGATGTGGACCCAGAGCTAAATACTACAGGACTTCTGTGGAGAGTGGGACTGGGTGAGGCGTCTACACAGGCATGGGGTCAGGTTAAGAAGTAGAACTTAGAAGATAGTTTTTCAACATGCAAAGACCTCTCAACAACCAGGAAACATTTGTGAAGAGGTGCCTAGAGTGCTGGAAACTCAGTACTCCCTTAATTTGCATAGCAGCACTATTTTAGAAAAACCCCAGTTTCCCACTAGCACCATCAGGTCACACACCCTAAAAGCAGTATTTCCACGTCACACCTACACTTCATCACACCAATTTATACAAACACCTCTAAACATGGGTAAGATCTGGTCTCTCTAGCAAGTAAGGCAACTAGGGCTCTGAGATAGGAAATTTTCCACTGTCAAAACTGGTAGGCGTGGGACTAAAAACCTAGGTCTTCAGATGAGACCCATTAGTCTAAAAATCGAAGTAAGAACAGACTCTGTCTCAAGGCACAATTTTTTAAAAACACTAATGTAAGTATTGTTAAAAGAAATGAAGAAACTGCAATCCCAATACACTGGAAGGCTGAGGCAGGAGACCTTGAGCCCAGAACGGGCAATTTAGTTACTCATCAAGACTGAGGACTGGAATGCAGCTGAGTGTGAAGGCCTGGATTCAACCCCCAACATTACACACGCACATCATACATTTCACCAAGAATTAAAAATAAATCATTGGAGATTAACATGCAACAACGCTTGCACATCTCCTCTGTCCACCTCCAAACAGTCTGGTGCTAGAACTGGAGATCAGAGTGGGCACTTAAGAGAGTGGGGGTCTGGGTAACCGCGCGGGTCGGAGACAGGAACCGGAGGGGAGGGGAAAGGAAGCAGGAAGAGGACGAGGGTTCCGCGTCGGAGCAGCCACGGGGTTCTGCGCGGCGGCCACATTACCTCATTGCCGCTGCAGGACTCTATGACACAGGCCGTTACCGACTGCACCAGGCAGAGAAGAAGGCCGAAGCCCACAGAGGACAGTGACTTTCTCAAAGCGGAGCGAGCGTGAGCGAGGCTGCGGAGCACCACGCTGCGAGGTCCCCGCCCTCCGCGCCACGGCCACCCGCACCCTCCGGGGCGGGGCGTCCGAAATCTCCTCCTTCCGGGCAGGGCCACCCCTCCCCGGCAAGCTTCTCCCTCTGTCCTGCGCTGCCGGCACCCCGCCGCCTGCGCTCCCCAGCTGCCTCCTCCCCGCCAGCCGACGCCAGGTCCCGCCTTGCCGGCCGAGAGAAACGCCAGTACCGCAGAGTTAAGCCGTCAAGCCCCCGCGGGGCCAGCGCGGGGAAACAGTTCGGGAAGGGGCCTCAGGGTGGTAAGATGCCACTCACGCGTCAAATTTGTTGTTCATCCTCTCGCCGCCACTGTCGCCTCTGCCTCACGGAATGATTTCCGTCGGGTCCGTCGGCCACGGGCCCGGGCACTTCCGGTTGCGCGGGGCGCAGCGGAACCTCAACGCTCAGGCCCGCTGCGGGGAGGTTTTCCAGGACGACGGACGCGGCGCCTGCGCAAAGACGCAGGCTCAGCAAGGGTGCCGCAAAGCGTCATCGACGGCGCGGGCTCTACCTTCGCTGCTGGGTTCAAATCCCGACTCTCCCTCCAGTGCATGCGCGCGTGCGCCTCCCGCATCTCCCGAAACCTAGGAGGCGCGCCCCTCTGGGGCGCTGCTCTAGTACAGTCCCCACCCCCGCAGGTTGCGGGCGGATCCCAGAGACCCTGTCAGACCCGGGAGTGACACTCCACAAACGGTAGCTAGTGTTCATCTTCGCGTGCTTACTGTGTGCCAGGAGCCACTGAGCTAATTCTCTGCCCACTGAGGCTTTCTAACAGATTGACGAGGTCGCGTCAGTAAGGGGTTCCTAGGAACCGGAGATGGCCTCACCGCCGTCACATTCATTGCCCCCAGGATGGAAGCTCGCCACCCTCGCGCCATCCCCAGGGCCCTGTAGTCGCCACTGCTGCAGACAAACGAGCAGGAGAAAATGAAATGAATCTGCTGGCAATTAAGCCCTAAAGCCAGCAACCCTGTGTTTGGAAGCAGGACACGTTTCCTCTCCCCCCTTCCCAGCATGTGCTTTACGTGTGCTTGCACAGTTTTGAATGGCATTTACGCTTACTTTTGTCCCTGAAGTGAGGACCGGTAGAACCAAATGTGTCGGGGAATTGCTCAAGGAGCATAAGTGACTGGTGCACTGTGTGCCCTGGTCACCAACAAACCCATGGCCCCCATACTTGGAGCAGGACCACTTGCTCAGGAACAGCAAGCAGCTCAGCTGCTCACCATATTTGCTGAATGGGGCCAATCGAAGCCAATCAAGTCCCCTCAGGAAGGCAGAACCTGGTGCTGTTTATGCCTGCAGGCTTGCCTGCTCACCCCTCTTGGTTGTAACCATCTTTTGGTACCAGTGCAGATACCCTGGCTTTTGAGAAGGCAGGGAAGAAAGGCCCATTTTTCAGGCCAGAGAATCTTTGATAAGAATGGCTGATATTGGGTCAGAGTCAGGAATTCTAGAGCCACCAGTGTGCTGGGGAGTCCCTGTACTCCAGGGCCTAATTTCCCTGTGTGAAACGTGGGGGAATTGAGTCCCTGCTTTGTCTGTGATGCTGTGAGGAAACTTAGCAATAAAAAAATGATGATAAAACTTAATATCTTTTGTGATCAATGGCAAGAAAAGGACACAAATGGAAAGGTACTGCTGCCAGCAAGCATTGGGTGCATTCAACACATGGCAGGCTGGAGAGGGACCTGCTAGCCGACCTGGGCCACTGCCCCATTTGAAGACTGTCCATACACATCTCTTCACCACTTCCTGCAGAAACGACTCATACAAGGGAAGTTGGTCCCAGGCCTGGAGGACTAGGCTCTTGCCCAACTAGGAACACCATACAAAACAGATGCTTCAAAATAATGGGAGTCCAAGATGCTTTCCTGGAGTAGGGGCCAGTGCCACAAAGATGCCAGTCCCAATCCGGTACCTTGACCACAGCCCATCCCAACCACTCTGGGATACCAATTCTGCCTTTATTTCTCCAGTTTTTCTTGGGGTCCTTTGGCTCCCACAACCTTGATGGGCACTTCCTAAAGAGCACACTAGTGATTTCAGTGGTGGGAGAACACAGCTGGCAAGACAGCACAACCCATGCATATGACTTCCCTTGGCCCAGCAGTGACTGGTTGGGTCAGTCTGGGGAGGACAGGTAGGGGCGGGGGTCTCCCGGGAAAGGCAGGGCGGGCGCCTGGTTGTAATGTGCCATGAGGAAGATGCCAGTGGTGCCGCAGATGAAGAGCAACAGCATAGCCAGGAAGCAAACTCGATCCAGCACACGGCCCACCAGGAGCCACTCCTCATTGCCCTGGAGGTTTGGAGGGGTGGAGGGTGAGCAGGGCAGAACCAGCACCTGCAGTGCATCCCTCTTCCATCCTTGAGCTTCCGCCCTCATTTCTTTGGGCCCTTCTTGCCCCCGTCTGCGTCCCTCCTCCATGTTCCCAGCTCTTTCTTTTCCATCCAGTGCTCTGTCTTGGACGATGCACATCTGCCACCATCTCATGGCTGGAGTCCCACCCCACCCCACCGTGAGCTGCTTACACTGTCAAAGTGACGCTGCTGAAGCCGAGCTCTTGCAATGAAGTTGCAGGCATCCACACAGGCCTGGATGGCTGGGGCGGCCTGCTTCAGGCTGCCACAGAACTCCTGGCCGTGCCCCAGCCCTGGGCCTTTCTCTGACAGAGGGGAGAGGGTAAGGTTGGGAATAAAATGAGGAAAGAAAAAACAATAAAATATAATACAATAAAATGGAAGAGAAACAGGCAGAAAAGGTGGCCTCTCCTTAGATCCCCCTCCAGTTTGGACACTTGCTCACCATCTGGGGTCCCTAGGCAGGAATGTCCCCTGAGGCTCCTCCGAATCTTACCCAGTTTCTCCAGTGCTGCTCTCACCAGCCCATTGTACTGCCGCTGCCGGAAGAGGAGTTCACTGCGGGGCAGGCACAGGGCCGCCTCCTCCCCAGCTGTCACAGGCCACCCGGAAGACGAGCCGTTCTGGAGCCGCGGCTGGGTGTCCTGCACAGCCGCAGGGGCCAGCAAGCGAACGTGCATCCGCAGCAGCTGGGGCAGGAGCCGCAGGAACACCTGCTGAGGGAGCACGCACTGCTGGGCTCCATGGGCGGAAGCTTTGGGGCCTGGAGCCAGCACACGAGGGGCAGTGACCCGGCCTTGTGCAGACTGGCTGTTCTGTCCTGGGCACAGAGCCTGGGACTGTACCTTCTGTGCACCTCGGGATCGCCCGGACCCTTGTATGCTACTTGTGCTGCTGTCCTGGCCTAGAAAGCCGGTGGACTGGGGATCTGCATTCCTGACAAGCGTCCCAGTTGCCTGTAGCAAGTGGGCTGCAGGTCATGGGGGCAAACGATGTAACTGCTCTGTCCTCAGTTTCCTCATCTGTTAGATGGAGGCGATTCTACTCCCCACTCCACAGGGGTTTTGGAAAGATTAAGTAAGTTGATAGATGCAGTCTCTTCGGCACCCTCTGAGCTTCAAGGCTTATGGGATGGGTTTGCTGCCCAGAGGTCAGGGGAGGGTACAGTGAGGGGTGGGCACAGAGGGAGGCACAGGGGCACAGAGGGGTGGGCACAGGGGAATGGGTGAAGGGGGGGCCTTGCCTTGTGGACCCCTCGGGCCATGGAGTGTGTGTGCGGGGACCTCAAGGACACGTTGAGCACAACCACAGCATTCACCACAATGAGGATAGTCACCACCATGAGGAAGGTCAGGTACCTGTTGTGGGGCAGGCAGGGGCTGGATGATCCCTAGGTACCCATACCCTGGTGCCCCCCCCTGCCCTCGGGTCCGTTGCAGGAGGCCCGGCCTTACTTGCTGATGAGTGGCACTGCCTGTGATGTCTCTGGCACCTTCTTGGCCACCAGGAAGAGAAAGACAGTCTGGGCCAGGAGCACGTTGATGGCCACGGTGCACTTCTGGCCGCCCGCTGCTCAGGAGCAAGAGGCACTCAGTGTGGGCCTCCTGCACCCCCTCTCTTCCCTCCCCAAAGGAGTCCTGGGGTGCGGTGCTGCCCATGCCCTGGCTAGCCCTGCCCTGGCCTTGCAGCATCCCGTGCGTGGCTGGAGGGGACGGGGCTCCAGGTACCCTTGGCGGGGAGGAAGTAGATGAGGATTGCGACAGAGGAGATGAGCACGCAGGGGGCAATGATGTTGATGACGTAGAAGAGGGGCTTGCGCTGGATGAGCAGGTAGAACACCACCTTCTGGTGGCCAGTCTCCTCTGTGTCCAGCAGCAGCTTGGCTGGCCGGTGCCGGATGGCCCATTCCCCGTTCTCTGCAGGGGCAAGGGGGTGTGGGTGGTCAGACCTGCAGCCTGAGGGACCCAGCCTCTGGCAGTGTGGGGCTCAGGAAGTGCCTGGGGACACAGGACACAGGCACTGTGGAGGGGCATGGCGGGGGGGGGGCGGGGGGAGGGACAGACGGAATACCGATCCCCCCATTTCCAGAGCCGGAGCAGTGATGCCAGAAAATTCTGTACAAGAACAGACTCTGTGGTCTGCTGTCACTTTGAGCTTGAGTTACAGAAGGGACAGGACCTTGATCCTGTAGGTACATGTGGCAGGGGTGGGGTGCTGGGAGCCCTGGGCAGGGTTACCCGTGAAGGCCTCAGGATCGATGAAGATCCACTCGATGTCCTGGCCGTCTTCCTGACTCAGCTGCAGGTTGATCTCACTGGTGCTGTATGTCTGGGACCTGGGGCCACAGAGGAACAGGGGTAACCAGAGCCAGGAGACACCCAGAGAAGCCACTGACTGTCATCTAAGGGCATATGTGGGGGTTTGGCTTTAAAACTGTGGCCCCATGAGTCCATCTGGGTTCTCCACTGAGCCCGGGGGTGAGATGGGGGTCTGGAGGATGTGGGCTCTTAGGGGATCAGTGTTGAGTGCAGGGGCCTGCAGGTGCAGGTCAGTACTGTCACCTGGTTAAAGAGCCCGGGCCATACTGTGTTTGTTCCTGTCACCACTACCACATACAGTATAGAAAATACACCGGGGATTTAGCTCAGCAGGACAATTGCCTGAATGGCAAGCTCGAAGTTGTGAGTTCAAATTTCCAGTACCAAAAAAATAAATAAAAAGAAAAATAAAATGCATGCCAGCTAATCACGCCTGATGAATGAGGGAACTCATCCCTAAGGCTTCCTGGCAAAAGAGCTCACTCCTGTAAACTCATCTGGCACCCGCCTGCAAACCCAGCCTGAAAACCAGCCTGTGCAAAGCCGAGCAAGGGACCCGAAAGTTCAAGCACCCCCTGAGTAATTCACTGACTTTGTGGGAGCTGGAGCCAGGCCCCCGCCTCTGCCTGCCACCAGATCACCCTCCCCAGACCCCCCAGCAGCTCCCTGAATGCCCCCTCCCAACATAAATGGCCTCACTGGAAGACGAGAGAGCAGTTCTGCCAGTCGAAGGGGAAGTAGGTGACAGAGACAGCACAGGAAGAGCGGAAGATGGCAGGTGGCAGCCAGTAGATGCAGCCGTCGGGGGACACCAGCACGTTGCAGTAGAGGGCCACCTCGAAGACACCGTCCACACTGCGCATGGGCCAGGCCACGGGACAGTGGGCTTAGTCCCCACAGTGCCACCTAACCCTCTGTCCCGCGTGGGTGGGGACCAGGGAATCACAACCCCTAGCCCACCTCACCCTGACGGGTGCCCACCCGGAACCACTGCTGCCCCCTGGAAGCTCCCTGCCACCCCCACCTGCTGGGTTCCCTGGTGGCAGTTGTGGGAACGGTCACTGGTCCTAAGTCACGGGGAGGGGACGGGGCCAGATCTGTTGCTCCTGCTCCTGCCCTGTGCTGTGCCCTCTGCCTTGTCCCGTCCCGCTGGACCTGACTGTGTCGCCCTTGGCCCCTCCTCACTTGTTCTCCAGCACGATGTCCGGCCGCCACACCATGGTGGACGGCACCCTCAACACCCACAGGCCGCCGTAGTCCTGGGGGTCCCAGCGCAGGCGATAGTCACACCACTGCTGTGGGAGAGGAAGGGGCATTGCCAGGCCTCTGCTCCCAGCTGTGCAGAGCCCCAAGAATGAGAGTCCACCCCAAGGAAGGTTCTGCATTTGGATCCCGACACACAGAGGGCATGGCGGCCACTTACCATCTCAATCCAAACGTTGGTGGTGAGGGCCTCCTCTCGCTCATTCTGGGGGTGCAGAACAGGGGGCTAAGTCCCCGTACCTCACCTCCCCAAGTACCTGGGACTTGGGGCCTACAGCCATGGGGCTTTCCCTACTCTCAGCCTACCCTCCTCCTTCCCTGTCCCCCCAGAGGGTCCCTGTGCCAGCCTGTGGCTCTCTCTGCTCCCCACCACTCACCAGGGAGATGAGATTGGTCAGGGTGAGCTTCAGGCTGACATTGACCACATCTGTGTCGCGCTCTGCAGGCCGCAGGTGAGGGTCATAACTGTGCATCAGGTCAGCCAACAGTCGTTCCTCCTGGTTGCGGCCCTGGGCCCCTGCAACAATGGCCGGAGCTTCAGCCTCACTGTGTGGCCTTGAGGAAGCACAGTAGCAAAAAGGTGCAGAGGTGGGAGGTGGAAACTGGTGACCAGGGGCTGGAGCACATCCCCCAAGGCCTCAGACCCCTGCCCTGGGGCCTCCCAGATCCGAGTCCCCTGGTCCGCACCCAGGCAGGCAGCCAGCAGTGACAGGAGGAGCAATAGCCCTTGGCCCTGATGCATGGAGCCTCTGCTCTCTCGGGTCCCCAGCTCCAAGCAGAGAGAGGGGCTAGGTGTCCTGTGACAGGCCACACTCCCATCCCACAAGCCCTGCCAGCCTGGCCCCACCAGCTGTCTGACCACAACTTTGTCAGCTGCTGGGGCACCACAATGCTCGGCTCAGGTTTCTTGGCTGGGGTGGGAGAGGGGCCTGTGGGTCCCAAAAGAGATAGCCATTCCTCCCCACGCCCACCCTCAGCTGCCCAGACCCCGCCCCTATGGAGCCTCCCGCTCTCGCTCTCGGAAACACAACCCATCCTGGATGTCCTAGGCCTTCCCCCCACCTTACTCCCCCATGGCCCCTGCATGGCCCTCATTTGCCCCCAGACCAGCTCCCTCACCCCACCCTTCGTTATGGAGCAAATTCTCTTCCTCACCCTCCTCCCAGCGTTTGCCAAAGCTCAACCCCTACCAGGCACAGGGCCGAATGAGCTAACGCCTCTGCCTGGCCTCTGTCCCCACGAGTGCCGGAGAGGGCAGAGGCAGAGGATGCCGGGCGCCTTCCCTCTGGCCGGATCATGATGCCTCCCTACAGTCAGGGTTCTGGAAAGGCCGAGGAGCCCTGTTGACCTCGATAGGGGGCGTCAACCCTGAGGACAGGGTTCCTGCGGGATTAGGGCTATGCAAGAGGGCTCAGGAAGGGATGATCTCTTGTGGCCATCTCTCATTCTGATGGCCCCTTCTAGTCCGTCCTCTGTGCCCACAGCCGGTGACTCCAGGGCCCCCCTCAAATGCCAAAGTGTGCCAACGCTCAGATCTCCTCTATGAAATGGAGTAGGAAACCGGGTGTGGTGGCGCATGCCTGGGATCCCAGCACCTGAGAGACTGAGGTGAGAGAATCACCAGGAGTCTGAGGCCGGCCTGGGCCACATAGTGAGTTCAAGGCCAGCCTGAACTCACAGTGAGAGCCTGTCTCAAAACAGAGCGCTGCGGTGCTGTTTTTGCACATAATCTGTGTAACTCTCCCCTAATTCTTTGGTTACTGATGATATGTAACAGTAGGAGTGCTGTGCAAATATTTGTTAGGCTATATTGTTTAGGAAATAATGACAAGAAAAAAGTCTGTACAAGCACAGTGCACATTTTTTTCTCCCAAATATTTTCAGTCTGTATCTGTCTGAATCCACAGGGGCTGAGTCCATGGGTTTGCAGGGTTGACCATACTTGTTCCCCAGGCTTCCCTGTACCCAGAGGCTCTGATGTTTAGACCAAGGATTTGCTGTGGGATTTCCTAGGAAAGCTTTCGCTACTGATAAAAGGGGTGAGAAACACATGGCTCCTTTTCTGTCTGAATATAGATGCAAGGGATGGCACTGTGGCAGTCATTTTGCAGCCTGAGGCAACAAAGCAAGAGGAAGTAGGCCCATGTGCTGGGTCTCTCGTGGCTTTGCTGCACCACTGAGCAAACACAACCATCTTTTTCTCCATTCTGAGAAGCAAGGAAACCGTAGTTTCAGGCATGGCTACGACACATTGTGGCTTCTGTTCTTTGCAGCCCAGTGCATGCCTAACAGATTCCTTGCCCTGCTGGCCTGGAGGGACTGAGTGTAGGAAACTACGTTGGGCTTCTGTGAGGAGGCTTCCCCTGAGAGTGTGATTCCCAGGCCGCAAAGGGCAAGGAGGTCCAAGGCCACCACCGTGGATTCGCTGCCATAGCGCCACCATGTGGCAGACTAGTGCGGGTGCGTGGCGGGTGGTCCTAGTTCAGGGCTCTGCTGCCTCTGCAAGACAGGGACCCTCCCTGTTGGCGGACTCTGTGAGTCACGGCTGGGTTTCCCCGTACAGAGGAAGAGGCACCTTGGATTTGTGGGAAGTTTGCCCCGGAAGGCAGAAATAAGCCTAGTCGGTTTGGGTTTCAAATGGCTTTTCTTTCCCCAGTTACATCTAAAGATGAAAATTGCCCCTGCTGCCCGGCAGAGCAAATGAGGTCACCTGGTCCCTCTGAGGAAAACTGCAGGAGCTGGACACCCTGCGCGCAGGACGCACCCCACACACACCTCAAGGATGAGACAACAGGAGCTAAGAGATGATGGGCTGGGGCTCACCCAACGTCCTCCGTGGTGTAGCAAGTCACCCCAAACCCATCACTAAAACAGAGCCTTTATTCTGTCACACAGTTCCTGAGGGGCTGGAGTGCAGGAGCAGCTGCACTGTGCGGTTCTAGCTTTGGGACTTCTGTAGGGCTGTGACCCTCGTGGGGCCCTTTGGGGCAGGGTCACCTCCACATTCACACATGTGGTTACTGAGAAGGCTTGGCCCCTCGCTGTGTGCCCCAGCTTCCCCAAGCGTCAGAATCCAGTTGACGTGAGTGATGATGAGTGACAGGAGCCGCGGTCTCTTCCTCTGTTTTGAGACAGGATCTCATCGTGTAGTTCAGGCTGGCCGTGAACTCACAGCGACCCTCCCGCCTCAGCCTTCCAAGGGCTGGGATGACAGGCATGTGTCCCCCAGCTCAGGGGCGGGTGCCAGCCTCCCCCGCAGAGATGCTCTCCCAGGCTAAATGAAGCGCCGGTCTCGCTCGTTGTAGGAGAAGGGGTCCCCGGGGAAAGGCTGGGGTGGGGGCTGGTTGTAAACGCCCTGCAGAAAGATCCAGGCCGTGCCCACTACCATGATGGGCGTCACCACGAACAGGCAGAGGCGGTCCACCGTACGGGCCACCTGATTCCAGCTGTCCTTCTCCTAGAGGGAGTGACGAAGGGGCCTGGGTGCCGGCCAGCACCACACCCCAGGCCCAGCAGAGGAGAGACCTGGCCCCCCCTCGTCTATGGGAGTCACCTGTGCCTCAGCTGGCAGCAGGCAAGCTGGGATAGGGCCTGCTGGCCTAGCCCCAGCAAGATCCAGGCCCTGGGGCAGGCCATCGTGTGTGCTGAGGAGGAGACTGCAGGCCACAGTGGGCCCTGACCTTGGCCCCCACCCTAGCTTAGCCCTTCCTGGCGTGCCAGGTCCACTCACAGGTGCCACCCTCAGGTGGCCTTTGCTCAGAAGATGATTTAAACTGTGTGATGGTGACAGCCACCATTGTCTCCGTTTAAACACCTGCTCTCTCTGGAATAGCAGGGACAGAGCTGGGTAGGGCCACAAGTGACTGGCAGCTAGGGCAAGAAGGGATGATGAAAGGGTGGGCTCAGGAGTCCGTGTGTGCCACCAAGTGTGTGCCCAGCCCTGAAAGAGTACATGCCTAGCCATGAGTTCCCCCGTGTAAGCTGGTGGGGGTTATGGAAGTGGAACTGTAAGATGGGTGACACTGGATCAGTACACAGCTCCAATGCCTGCACATGATAACCCTGTGGCCACTCACGTCATTATAATTGTTCTGATCCCTCATGTGGTTGACGATGAAGTTGGCCCCATCCACAGCCGGCTTCAGCTCATTGAAGAGCTCCTGCTGGGCCTGCTCAGAGCTGGCCGGGGGCTGGCCTACGGACACAGGTCACAGTGGGGGTAAGGCCTCTCCTGCCTACCTCCAATGGGTGGGCCGTGCCCTGGGGCCACCAGGGACCTACGTGCGGTGGTAAGGCGCCGGGCCAGCCCGTGCCGCTCCGACTGCTTCTCAAACATGAGGTCGCTGCGGGACTTGAGGGAGAAATACTCCTCCGCCTTGGAGATGTAGCCCAGGGAGCTGCTTCTCCGGACCAAGGCCCCAGGGCTGGGGCCCTCCTCTGCTGGCCGGGACATGTGCAGCAGCGCAGGCAGTGTCTCCAGGAAGACCTTCAGCAGTTGTGGGGATATAAGAAAGGCCATCTTACAAGTGTGTGGTGTCCTTTACACACCCCCCTGCCCGAGATGCTGCTCCTGCTGGCCCCAACCATTCCCATCTGACCCTGCCACCCGCTCCCCAAGCCCTGGATGGACACAGGCGCACTGCACTGAGCAGAGGTGAGTCCTAAAACAAGCATCAAAGACCAAGGGGAAGACCAGGGCCCAAGCCCTGAGCTCCCTCCTCCAGATGCTCGAAGCAAGAGTGCTGCAGAACCACCCCTGCCATCCCAGGACAGCCGCTGGCCCTGCGATGCCCAAGATATCAGCAATACCGTGTCCCAAGCACCCTGACCACTTTCTCCCTTTCTTCCTTTATTTTTATTTTTATTTTTGGTGCTGGGCCTGGAACTCAGGGCCTCACACATGCGAGGTGAGCATTCTGCCAGAGCCAGTCCTCTCTTCCTTCTAACTGCAGTGTCCTGAGCTCACAGCAGAATGAGCATCCTCAGAACCTTTTTGCTCTTTTGTTTTGAGACAGGGTTTTGCTAAATGGCCAAGTTGCCCAGACTGAATTTGAACTTGTGATCCTCCTGCCTCAGCCTCCCAGAGTACAGGAAATCATGCAGTGTACCTGGGTCAGTGCTCACCTTCTTGACCCCCTCAGACAGCATGTGGGTGCTGGGTGTCCGGAAGTGGATGTTGAGCACGATGACGCAGATCACCACGACCATGGCCACCAGCACCATGCCGAAGAGCAGGAACCTGCGGGCAACACTCAGCCTGGAGCCCCTGCAAGCAGGGTGCAGAGGAGGGGCTGCGTGGGTGGCACTCACTTGCCAATGAGTGGGATGGCCATGGAGGTGGCAGGCAGCCGCTTGGAGATGAGCAGCAGGAAGACAGACTGGGCCAGCAGCACCGAGATGGCCACTGACGTCTTCTCGCCACCTGGGGACGCCAGATTTAGCTGTACCTTCAGACCTCAGGTCTATAGAGTTTGCCACAAACCATTGCTCACCACATTATGGTGTCCCGATAAGTATCTTAGGCCACAGCCCTAGAGGGCCTAGGTTCAAATCCTTGGTCTGCCACTAACTAGCTGGGTGGCCTTGGGCAAGTGGCCTAACCTCTGTGTGCCTGTCTTCCCAACTGTCCAGTGCACAAGAGTGGGAGTGTTGAACCCACACCTCCCTGCCTGATGGTAAGTGTCAGGGCACCTGGCTGTCACAGTGTCCCACGCTCTGCCAATTCACTGTCCTTCCGAAGCACAGATCCATGTGGGTCACTTTCTGCCGGTCCTCACAGTGTCAGGGTAGCACCCAACATACACCTTTCACACACAGACGCCAGCCCAGCACTGCCTTCACTGGCCATTTGAGCCCCCATACCTGAGATCCTGCCTGTGATGCCCCGCCCCCTGGGGCAAGGCCCCACCCTCTTGAGAAGCTCCGCCCCACAGTCCTGTGAACTCCACCCTACCTGCCTAGGGCAAAGGGCTGGACTCACTGGGCCTCTGATATTGTGGAATCGCCACCTCTGGAGCCCAGACTGACTGCCCACCTCCCAGTCCCCAAGAGACACCCAGCCAGCCACTGGGTCAATGCCCTTGGCCTTGCAGAGGTGACCATGGCAGGCCTGGCCCTGGCCTGGCAGCTGGACAGTGAAGCTGTTCTCCTGGGTCGTGGAAGAAGTCCCTGGTGAGCACCCAGATGGACCATGCCCTGTCCACTGTGGGTGTTACCGGGCACCTGGCCCCAGGTGGGAGCCCCATGCAGCCTCTGGGGGGGCAGGGCCAGGGCTGCAGGGCCCTGCTGGTGGGCTCCTGCCAGGCCTCGGACCGGGCAGGAGGGACACTGCTTACTGTCAGCCGGCAGGTAAAACACCAGGTTGACCATGAAGGAGATGAGCACGCAGGGAACTAGGATGTTGACGATGTAGAAGAGTGGCTTGCGGCGGATGATGAGGTAGAAGGTGACATCCTGGTGGCCTCTGCTGTCCAGCGGGGCACTGGGGTCCACATTGACCCTGGCTGGCCGGTGAACAATCTCCCACTCCCCGTTCTCTGAGGGCATCACAAGGATGGCAAGGTTGGGGGCCCAGGGGTCTCAGAGACTTGGGGCAGGGGTGCAGATGAGTGAGTAGGGTCATCTGGGGGGCACAGAAAGGGCTTTGGGTTCTGTCTGGGGCCTCCTGGGCTTGGGCTGGCATTTTTCATCTGTGTGTAGAGGGGGAGAATTTCCTCTGATTGATTCTCTCTGTCTCTCTCTCTCTCATTTTGATTTTTTTTGTTTTTTTGTCTTTTTTGTTTTAATCGGTACCAGGGATCGAACTCACGACTGCCTGCTTGCAAGGCAGGCGCTTATGCCGCTGAGCTAAATCCCCAGCCCCCTCATTTTGATTTTTTTGAGACAAGGTCTTACTCTGTAGTTCAGGCTGGCCGTGAGCTCAGGGGATCCTCCTGTCTCAGCCTCCCAAATGCTGGGATTACAGGTGTGCACTGCGACACCTGGCTTTCTTTTCTTTTTCTTCTTTAGAAAAAATAGAAGCTGAGGCCATACAGGGTCCAAATAAAAAGTGCATTGTGGCTCAAAAGAGGCCACAAGCCAAAAATAGATTAGGTGCAAATTAAGCAGATAGAATTTTAAAAAAGAGATAGAATAGTAATTTTAGAAAGGTTCCCAGTTGTCTTTCTAAGTTAAAAAAAAAAAAGCTAAGCTGATTTTAATTGGGGTATCCTTCCCAGCCTTGGTGTTAGGATGATGGACCACTGTCCCCGAGATGTCCCTGCATAAAGACCAGCAGGACACCAGTCTCTTTGATGGACAGGGCTGGGCAAGGAGCCTGGGCATAGACAGGGTGACACATTCATCAGTTGACACAGCCTCTGCCCTGACTGCTCCTTTCTGTTCCCGTGTCCACCCTCAGGGGCCCCAGCCACATCCACTGGTCTTCTGGCCTGGGCAGGGCAAGGGGTGCTGCACCCACTTAGGGCAGCCTAAAGCTCCTTGGCCCGGGTGAGTGCTGGTGAATGTCACTGTGATGGGGACCTGCCCATCCCCAGCAGCACCTGTGAAGCCCTCGGGGTCAATGATGATCCACTCCACCAGGTACGCTTGGCCGTCTTCCTCCTCCTGCTTCAGGCTCAGTGTGATCTCCTTGGCTGTGTACTTGAGTGAGCTGGGGACGGCAGTGGGCAGAGGTGACCCTTGGCCACCAGCAGGGGACAGAGGCCTTGGTGAAGAAGGCAGCTGGGGCCTCTGTCAGGGGTGGCTGTGGCAGGGTGATGAGGGAGGAAAGCTGGAAGATGGGGTGCACCTGAATTTGAGGGAGCAGTTCTGCCAGTCGAAGGGGAAGTAGGTGACTGAGATGGGACAGGAAGAGCGGAAGATGGCAGGTGGCAGCCAGTACACGTAACCGGAGTCGTAGACCAGCACATTGCAGGAGAAGGAAATCTGGAAGGAGCCATCATTGCTGGAGGACAGGGACATGGACCACTGTGAGCACTGGCCCGCCAGACACGGGCAGGGCTGGTAGGCAGTGGAGGAGGGGCAGGCGGGGCTGGGTGGCAGGGGAGGCCCAGATGCATGGGGGAGCAACTGGGCGGGTGGCTCCACTCAACTTGTTCTCCAGCACGATCTCTGGGAGCCACACCAGGTCCGAGGGCAGGCGCAGCACGCTGATGTTCCCAAACTCGCTGGCGTTCCACTGGAGCCGGCTGTCCATCCAGCCCTGGAAGCCCCGCAGTGGGTGAGCATCGCGCCCTGCTGCTGCCCGCCTCCCCCACAGCTTCCCAGGGAAGGGGTAGAGAGCTGTGATCTGAGCACTCCGGGGGAGCCCAGGAAAGACAGGGGACTCTGCTCGGTCATGGATAGCTGTGTAGGGTACACACTGCACCACCAAGGGGGTGTTGTTTCCACATGGAGTGGAGATCTGGGTCTATCAAGTGAATGTCTGACAGTCCTGCCACCTTTATGAGAATGTCTCTTTGGATAGAAATCAGAATAGAGACCACCGTCCCTCAGATCAGCCCTAAGCCCCTGAAAGGTACCCGGCAGAAAACTAGGTAGGAAAAAGGGCAGCTGGGCCTGAGGGTCCTGTGGGGGGAGAAGCCACACCTGGGGGGCTGCATCTAGAGGAGCTGAGATCCCAGAGAGGATGTGAGCACAGGGGAGCCTGGGCCTGCACCCACCCACCCCCACCTGGGGGTCCTTACGTGCTCCATCCAGACGTTGGTGGTCAGTGTCTCCTCGACTTCTTTCTGGAAGTGGACAGCAGTGCTGGCTCTAGAAGGCCACTATTCTTTCCCCCACCCACAGGACATTTCATCCAGCTGGCACCAAAAGACCCATGACAGATAAGCATTGACCGCCAGGGTGGGTAGGCAGGCCAGGGAGAGCAGACGGCTGCTGGGGTGTGGCATGGGTGTGGCATGGAGTGGGGTGTCAGGGGGACACCCCATACCTGGGGCTGGAGGGGAAAGGGCACATGCCTGGGATGCAGGAGGCCTGTGGGCATTGGGGGCCTGGCAGAAGCCTAGGGAAAAGGCTACTGTGGCACCTCGTCCCAGAGAAGCTGACTCCACTCCTTCCCAGCCCAACTCATGCAGGGGTGGCTCACCAGGGAGATGAGGTTGGAGAGGGTGAGAGCCAGCGTGATGTCCACGCTGTCCTCCTTGTGGGCCACAGGCCGCAGCTCCTTGTTGTAGCCTCTCTCCTCAAACAGGTGTCGGATCAGCCGCTCCTCCTCGTTCAGGGCCCAGCTGCCTGGGGACGATGGATGGAGCGGCCTTGAGCCCAGAGGGGCAGGCAGAGGGCCTTCTTGGGGGTGGGAAGTTGGGAATGAACCCAGGGAGAAGGCCACATGGTGGGGGACCTGGGGGGTGCATAAGGGATCCCCAAGTTGGAGCGATGTCTGCCCTTACCGCTCATCACCAGGGCGGCCAGCAGCCCCAGCGTTAGCGCAGGGCCCTCCATCTTGCCCAGAGGACCGAGGACCAAGTCCTGTGTCCACCCCTAAGTCTGCAGGCTGGCGACTGAGGGTGGGTGGAAGAGGGGACAGGTGCAGGGTGGGGGTGGAGGGCCCAAGGGGAGAAGAGCCGGAAATGCAACCTGACACCTCGGGCAGGTGATGAGGGGGTGGGGAGAGCCAGCCAGGCAGGCGCCCAGGTCTAGACTGCCCGAGGTCTGGACAGGAGATCCTGGCAGCTAGCAGGAAGGGAGGGATGCTGGTCAGTCATGACAGGATGGTGACAAGCGGGTCAGCTGCTGCCTCTCCTCGGGAGGCAGCGGATATGCTGGCGGGGGCTGCCCCCACTCCCTAAGACCTCGGTGATCTCTGCCAACTGCCTCTGGGGACTGCACCCACCCCATTCTGCATTCCAAAGAAGCATCAGTGTCTCCATGGCTTATAAATAACATTTATTAAAGCAGCTGTGAGTCTCCAATCACACATCTGGGAGGACACAGGACCCCGACCCACCCACAGACTTGGTCCACGGGGACAGTGACATTTGTCATATGCTCCCCAGCCCCCTAGCTCCTGGGAGCAGTGGGTTCCCTTGGTGGCTGCAGGCCTGAGACAGTCCCCTTCCTGCCCACTTCCAGCCCTGAGGGCTTGCCCTCTGCCAGGGCAGCTGAGCGGAAGGCCTGCAGAGCTTGCACCAGCAGCCTGGGGAGGCTTTGAGCCAGCGTTGCTGGCTCCAGGCCCACCAGGCTGCTGAAGGCCACACGTCGGCCCCCCAGGCCTGCCCGCACCCATGCTCGGAAGAGCCCCGTCAGCGTCTTGGAGCTTAAGTCGGCCAGCACCTGCAGACAGAGGGAGGTCAGGGGCTCAGAACCCACTTCCCAGTGGGAATCCTGGGGGTCACCCCCTTCCTCCCGACTCCAGAAACTCACCTACCCCTGCCTCTCCCACCACAACCTTCCTAATTTGGACACCCCAGAACCCCCTTTCCTTAAACCTTTCAGTGCTTATTACTGTTCTCAGCAGTAGTACCTGTTTGCAGGCCTCCCTCTCTCCCTCCATCTCTTGGTCCCCTTTGTTTTTGCAAAAGCTCTAACTGCCTGTTTCCTGTCATTTATTTTGCTCTTAAGTTGCTTATGCTGTATTTTGGGCTTCTTCCATAAGGGAAACCCTGCTTTATCTAAGCTCAAGGGTCTGATTTATTTCACCAGACACTATGATCTCTGGGTACATTCATTTTGTTCCGCCTCCCTCCCCTCTATCCCTGCCATGGAGCCCCCTACTCCCCTATTCCCTTTTCCTTGGACCCCTGTCCCTACTCCAGCGTGGGGGCTGGTCTCCTGCTGGAAAGGGGATCCTCTGCCCCTTTTCTGTCTGTGTCCGCCCTCCACGGAGGAGGAGACCGCTGGAGGAGTCTGGGACGCCAGGGGACGCACCTCCTGGAAGTGCATGGCCAGCCGTTCGGAAGGGACCTGCAGAATCCAGGCGTGGGAGCCCTGGAGGGCGGCTAACTTCTGTCGCAGGGGCTCCAGCCCAGGGCAGCCTTCAGGAAGGGAAGAGGCCCCCGAATCACAGAGAGCTGCGGGCGGGTCTCCCACCAGAGCTCCAGGACAACCTCCCAGGCTAGGCATCCCGCACATGCTACAGATGGGCAACTGAGGCTCCGAGAGGCTAAGTGAAATACTAGGCAGAGCACTTCTGTCTGACACCGAGGGGCTCCCAAAGACCCAAGTTCCTTCCTCTCAGGCTCACCACGGTACCAGGAGGAAGGGGAGAGCCTGTTGCCCCGCGAGGTAGCCCCAATCCTAGCGCAGACCCCCGCCCTCAACCGCTTCGGGCCGGGGCCGGCCGCGGGGCTCCTCCTCTCCCTGTGGCCGGCAGGGGGCGTCATTACCGCTCGTGCTCCTGCGCGGCTCTGGCCTCCGCTTCTGGAACCGCACTCTTGTTGCCCGCGGTCCTGGAAAGACGCAGGGTTTGGGGAAGCCTGGCGCGGGGCGGGGCCCGGGCTGGGCACTGCAAGGGGTGCGCGGTACCTGAGTTGAGCCGCTGCTCGCGGCCACCGGACTCCGGGGACTCCCGCTGCGACGGAGCGGGGCGGGCCAGGGCCAGGGCCCCGCGCCGCAGCCCGGGGCGCACGCCGAGCAGCTCCTGCGCGCCCCGCAGCAGGTCCAGCAGCGTGTGCGCCAGCGAGCGCAGCTCTGCGGGGTCGGGGGATGGCTGAGTGTACGGGGGCGACCTGATACTCCCGCTCCGCTCCCCTGGGGCGCTGGGACCCACCACACCGCCGCCGGCGCTGCAGGCACTGCTGGCGAGCCAGGCGCGCGCAGGCGCCTTCGGGTACCAGGCACCGGCGGGCGTAGAAGGCGCAGAGCAGGTCGACGTCGGCTGGGTATTCCTCGGACGGTTCTCCGGCCAGGAGTTCCCTGCAGCTGGGCTCGCGCGTGGAAGGAGCCGCTGCGAGAGGGGCAGGGCCAACTCAGCCCCTGTTTGGGGCCCTGGTCCCCCACAGCCCTTCCCCGGAAGGCTTTCCCACGCCGGAAAGGAACTGGGGCCCACGCGGGGTGCGGACCCAGAACTGCGGGGACACTCGAAGGGGGCGCGCGAAAGGGGGCGCTCACCGCTCATCTGCTCCTGGAGCCAGTCTTTGAACACAGCTACGCGGGTGTAGACCCCCGGCTTCCCCGGCTCCCCGCAGCCATCCCCCCAGGAGGTGACTCCAAAGAGGACCTCCTTGGGTCGGGGACCAGGCTCAGAACAGGTTAGTGGCCCTCCAGAGTCACCCTGCGGGACAGCAGCCGAGAGAGAGAGGAGCGAGAGAGCAGATGAGGAAACTGAGGCTCAGAGCCGGAGGGGATCCGAACGGTTACGACGCCCCCTGCCGGCCTTCGGGCGGGGAGCAGCCAACCGGCCCTGGAAGGGCTTCTAGTGGGGCCTTTGAGCTCTTTGCGTGGTCGCTACGTGTCCCCAAGTTAGCCAGGAAGACACAGGAGCTCAGACAAACGGAAGGAAGTCCGACCCAGGAGGAGAGCAGTTCAACAGCTCTCCGCAGCTAGCTCGCGGTCCTACCTGGCATGAGTCGATGCCTCCCGCCAGGTAACCCGCGCAGAGCATGGAGCTGGGGCGCAGCCCGGGCCCCAGCGCCCTTTGGCAGGTGTCAGGGCTGAGCAGCGGGACGCGGGCCTCCCTCACCGCCTCGGCCTCAGGCCCGTCTGAAGGGGAGAGAAGTGGCTCGGGTTTGGAGGGGCGCCCGCCTTCGGGGTCCTCTCCCACTGTGCTGCCCTTGTGTCAGATGCAGCCACATTTTCCGCTGGTCCTAACACTCAGCCTATCCAAACTCCACTCTCCATTCTCCACCTCAGCCCCCCATTCTTCCCCCGCTCACCCGAAGCCCCCCCCATACCTTCGAAAAGAGCCCCCCAGCCTGCGATGGCACAGGGAGTGCCGGCAGGGGGCTCCGGGGACGCCTGGGGCAGGCACACGGGGCGTGCGGCCCCCGCTGGGCTCACGGGTGTCCACAGCTGCACAAGGGCTAGGTCACTCTGGAAAGTCTGCGGGTCGAACTAGAGCGGGGACAGAGCAAAGTCAGGGATTGGGGTTCGGGGTGCTGTCCCCAGCTGTTCGGGCCTGGGCCTGCCCCTCACCTTGGGGTGAGGTAGGATGCGGTTCACCGGCACCTCCTCCGCCGGCTCCCCCTGGGGCCCCTCGGCCAGCACCACGGTCCACAGGAGCTCATTTGAGGCGCTATGGGGCGAGTGGCCAGTGATGGGCAGGAGGATCCTGGGCTGCGCACCCCCACCCACTAGCGAACCCGCGTCTCTGCTGGAGAGGGGCTGCGGACGCGCGGTGCGGGTGACCCTGGCCCTGGGGTCCGCACCGTAGCCTGAGCGCGTGCGCCTGGAGGCTGGGCCAGTCTTCCGCCAGGGGGCAGCAGAGACCAGTCTCCGGCAGGTGCACTGGGGACGGTGTGGGTGGGCGGGCGCCCAGGCAACTTGACGTACCCCACGAAGCAGTGCGCCGCGGTGAGCACCCAGGAGGCCGCCACCAGGACGCCGCCGCACAGAGGCTGCCCGCCCAGCTGCAGCCGTACCAGCCAGGGCCAGGCCCCAGGTGGGGCCACACTGCCCCCCATGATGCGGCCGTGAGCGCGGGTCACGTTGGCAGGGCCTGGCTGCCTTTCGCCACAAGGTCCTGAAATGGCAGAGGCAGTGTTGAGGGGCAAGTTCTAGACACGTCCAAACCCACCTGGCTCACTCCAAATCCCGCAACCTTTTTACCCTCACCTGGCTCAGGTGGGTCCTGGAGGAGGGGAACTTGAGGCCTGGGATGTCCAGGTCCTGCTGAGAAACAGCACTTTAAGTGTCGCTGCCACCTTATCCCCTGGAGTTCAGCCGCTGCCTCCCCATCTGGGTCCCTAGGGGTGTGGCATCTGAAGGTGGGGGGGGTGGATAGGCAAAGGGTGCAGGGGCGGGGCAGTCCAGACCTCGACACTCATGGAGTCTGAGCTGCAGCTCCATGGCCACTCGCTTCAGTGCCCATAGCGCGCTCCTCTGGGCAGCCTGCAAGGCCTGGGTCCCCTGGGCCGACAGAACTGCTGGGACATGGGACACAAAGCGTCCAAGATTGGCAAGAGCCTCAGTCCAGCATCCTGGTCCAGCTCCCAGTCTTGCTTTGGGAGCCATGGGGAAGCAGGTGAGGCTCCCAGAACCCAGGGCCCAACACTCTGAGCAGAGATCCCAGATTTGGAATCTCTACAGAGCACCTTTCCTTAAAAACCAGAAGGCAGCCAGGTGTGATAGGTTCTATCTGTAATCCTGGCACTCTGGGAGGCTGGGGCAGGAGGATCTCAATTTCTATCCCAACCTGGACAGTTTAGCAACTTAGTGAAACCCTGTCTCAAAATAAAAAATACAAAAGGTGCTGAGGACATAGTTTAGTGTGAGGCCCTGGATCAAATACTGCAAACAAAACAAAACAAAAATTTCAGAAGAAGAACATTGCCCCACCATCTGAACATCCCAGAGTCCAAGCCTGTTGACATAAAGTGACCAAGTGAGGTGCCTACCTGTGAACAGCCAGGCCCTGCTGCTCCGGGCCTCGTTGTCCTGCTGCCCTGGCCTCCTCTAACAGGCCCCTGGCAGTGCTGACCAGCTGTACTTCCCGTGCCAGCAGGCTGCCCCTCCTCTCCTTCCTACACCAAGCTCCTGGCCCCTTCTCCCAGCAGGTGGGCAGAAAGAGCCTCAGGTCAGGAGGTGACAGCCCCTCTCCCTTCCCTGCCCCACCTCCGCTCAGCCCTTCCCACCTCAGACCAGTCTGGCTCACCTTGCAGGGTGCTGGGGGGCAGGCGCATGTACAGGGGGTGCCCGTGGGCAGACCAGGGCTCTGGGAGGGGCAGCAGCAGCAGCAGCAGCAGCGTGGCCAGCAGCATGGTGACAAGGAGGCCCGTCCCTTTCCTCCAGGCCACCCTGGCTATGCTCACTCTCTTGTGCCTGCCTCTCGATGCTCTTCTGCCCCTGGGCATGGAATGGTTGTCCCTCAAATCATCTGACCGTGTCTGCCTACATCCAGGCTCCCCACTGCCCCGGGTTGCAGCTCACCTGGCCCTCGCCCACTAGGAGCCCCGAGGGAATGGGGTGGCAGGGGCTATATAGAGGACGAAGGGCATGTGGGAGGGGGCCAGGGCTGGGTTGGGGTAGGGAATGAGGTAGTGGGCTCGACCCTCACCTTTGAAGTCCCATAGCCCCGCTCTGAGCCCCCTGTGTCAAAGGGGCCCTTGTTCCCGCGGCTCCATCAAAGGGGCCCAGACAGGGAAGAGGAGCTGACGGTTGGGCCGGGGGCCAGGCAGAGGAAGGCTAGGGGGCAGGAGCTGGGGGGATCCCCATCTGCTTGTTTCCCCCGAGGAGTCTGCAGCTATGCTGGGGGCAGACATGCTTGGAGGGAGGAGAGCTGGGGGTGTTGGGGGGTCCTTGGCAGCCCCAGCCCCCGGGGAAGGCACTGAGCTCCCAGCCCCGCTGTCCCTAATTGCTTGGCGGCGTCCCTGCCCGATGTGGCCATTTCTAAGGATGATCAAAGCCTCCTAATTAGCGCCGTAATTGCTGCACTGGGGCTGGAGGGGCGGGAAGAGCAAAGGCAGGCGCTGGAGTGGCCCGGAGAGGAAGGCAGGAGATGAAAGGCCCACAGTGGCCCAGTTTGGGGAGGACGGGCCCCACAGACCCCTGTCCCTGCCGCTCGGCCCATCCAGCATTGTTCTCAGTGGCTGTGACCTTGATCCGGTAGGCGGGAGGCTTGAGGAGAGAGCCACGAGTGGGCAGGTCGGGGGCTGAGTCACCACCTGGGCCAGGGAGGTGTCCTTCTGCCCTGCACAGAGCCCAGAGGCTAGAGCAATACCCTGGTGCCCAGGCCCTGACTGAAGCAGTGTGCGGGCTGGCTGGTCACCATTTCCCAGCACAGTGGTCCCTGGGCTTTGCAAAGACAATGACCTCTGACTCAGAGGTACTGGGAGAATCCTGGCCATAATGGCTCATGGTGAGCATGCCTTTGCCTCTGCAGGAACTGCCTTGGGCTTGCAGGGCCCTGTCTCCTACAGGGCGGCACTGTGTCTGAGATTTCGAATTCTGGCCGAGGGTGTGAGCTGCACCCAGCCCGCATAGCCTCTGCAGCCCCTGGTCCCTCACACACTTGAGTCTCCCCAGGCCACAGATGCCCTCCCCACTCTCCAGACTAGGAGGCAGGAAGAGCAGGCAGAGCATGAGCTGCTGCGTCTATCCCTTTATCCCAGTTCAGGGAGAGAACCTGGCCACTGCAGAAGAAAGATTGGCGCCCTCCTTTTTGTTTTTCTTTTACCTCTTTCTTCTTTTCTTTTCTTTTTTTGAGGCAAAGTCTTGCAGTGCATTCCAGGCTGGTCTTGAATGCACAGTGGCGATTTTCCTGCTTCAGCTTCCTGAGTGCTGGTATTATAGGCACGTGTCATGGTGCTGGGCTTGCATGGGATCCTTGGCTGTTATGAAGGACTCTCTCTAGGTCACTAGGCACAGAAGTCTCAGACACCCCCAAGGAGGGCTCTATACACCTGTAAGAATCCATTCCACCCCCACCTCCTCAAGTGAACAGCAAAAAAGCTGGGGAACAGGGGCCTTTGGGCGTCTCTCGGACAGCCCCAGAAGAGGCGAGGTGTCAGGAGGCATCGTTTCAGTACCCAGCTGGAGGTTGGCTCAGCTGGAGGGTTCCATGACCAGCTGGGGACTCCAGTGGCTCCAAGCTTCTGGAGACTCGGGGAGTGTGGGGGCCACAGTGCAATGTGTCCTGATGCCAGCAGCTGCATGCTGCCATGACAGACTCGGAAACACAGGGATTCCCGCTTGCCTCCTGCTAAGAATTTCAAGCCAGTGACAGCAGAGCCCTAACCCGTGCAGGGCCATGCTGAGCACCTGTCCCTGGAGCCCCAAGCAGCCATAAGGTGCCTACAGTGGCCCTGAATGCCCTGGCCAAGGCCCAGCAGGAGCCCAGTGTCTCTGCCCTCTCCCTACTCTCCCTACCCCAACTGTAGTGGAGCCCAGGGTAGAGGAGAGACCCCCGCCCGCTGCCCAACCCCAACCCCAGCTTCCAAAGTGCCTTTGGGCTGCAGGAGAGAAGAGCTCAGGCTCCAGCCCCAGACAGAGTCTTGGTGGCAGTGTCCAGGTGGAGGCAGTCTCAGAGGGGACAGCTCAGTGGAAAAGGGTCTCCACCTCCCCCAGCCCCAGGGGGAAGACTGCCTGGGAGAATGAGGCCTTTTGATTCTCCCTTGCTCTTCCCACCTCAGAGCCCCCAGGCCACCCGCGGCTCTGAATTTGGTCATTTGCTGTTGCCTGCAGGAAGCAGGGCCCGTCTGTCTTGTCCTGGGCTGTCCTGGCTCCGGGAACCAATGCTCATGAGTGCCGAGAGGGTGGCTGAGCCCTGCCTGCCCTGCGACCCCTACTGCCGGGAGTCTGGCCTCCGCCTGCCTCCCTGCCCACAAGGGACTGGGTGGACCGAGGCCCAGGGCCTATTAGGCCGGGCTGTGTCTCTCTCAGGCCTCACTGTCTACGCTGTCTGGGCCTGGGGCTGCCCTGCACCTGCTGGGACCTGGCTGTGGGAATGAGAAATTTATTTCTCTCTCCATTTTCCCTTCCTTTTGTCTTTCCTTCCCTCTCCCTTCCCCCAGCACTGTGATTTGTACCCAGGGCCTTTGCACTGCGCTACATCCCCAGCCCTCTTTGAACTTTTCATTGTGACACAGTATCTTAATAAACTGCTAAATTGTGTAGGCTCACTGGGTGTGGTGGCACATACCTGTAATCCCAGCACTGAGGAAGCCGAGGCAGGAAGATTGCCGTGAGTCCAGACCAGCCTGGGTTACCATAAATGAGTTCAAGGTCAGCCTGCACTGCGTCTCAAAAACAAACGAACAAACAAACAAATAGATTGGGTGGGCCGGGCTCAAACTTGTGATTCTCCTGCCTCAGCCTTCTAAAGCAGTGGGATCACAAGTGTGGGCCTCCTCCCACCTGAGGAGAACCAACCATTCCGAGGTGCTTGTGGCCAGCAGCAGGGCATCACAGGGTTGATTCCAGACGCTTGGTTACTCTCAGGGAGGGACACTGCTCAGACAGGCACAGGTGCCCGCTGGGCCTGTGCTCTTCCCACTTGACTGTTTCTCTTTTTGGGGGGAGGGTGGAGAGTGGGGGATCCAGGGTGCTGGAGGGAGGCCGAGGGGCTGTCCGCAGCCCTGCATTTCTGCTCTCCTCTCCTCCCTCTACTGCTGCAGACCAGGGCCCTCCTCACCCCGCCCCTGCCCCCACCCCAGCCCCTTTCGATCACAGCTGCTCTACATGGCCCCTCCTGCGGTGGGCAGAGGCACTCTTGTCCTCAGCCTTCCTGGTCCAAGAGGAGTGTGTGTGTCACGGGCTTCCCCAGCCCCGTGGGCCTTGCTTGGGTTCCAAGGAGGAGAAGGCCGGGCTGCAGCCCTCATCGGGGCCCTCTGTGGCCCGGAGGGGCTGAGAGGCCCGGTAGCTGGGGCCCTGAGCCCCAACCTCTGCAGGGTGGTGGGTGGCAGCAGCGTGAGAGGGAAGCTCGCCCAGGAGCTGTCCATGCGGCCCCCACCAGGATGTGGCACCTGGCGCGCCAGCTCTGCAGTGACGTGTGAGGGAGCTGATGTCCCTGTCATCTTAGGACCAGAAGCCACGAGGCTGTGATTCACAGCCAGATCCAGGGCTCTGAGTGCTCCCGAGTAAGCTCAGTGAGTCACTTCCTGTCACGGGCTGGATCTCAGCCTCCAAAAAGATGCTCTGGAAACAGAGCTGCTGTAGGTGCACTGGGTTCCAATGAGGTTTTACTGGAGTAGGGGCCCATGTGACAACTGTCTACCCAAGGGGGACAGAGATAGAGCTACTGGGTCAGGCACCATGTGACATTGGGGCAGGATGGGGTCGCCTGTGCAGCTGTGAACCATGAAGCCCAGGGAGCCCAGGAACCCAGGCCTCTGGGCATTTACATGGATCCATCCCATATCCTAGGTCTCCTCAGTAATATTTGGCATCTTTGTCTTCAACCAGAAAGTCTTTCCAGAAAACACCTCTATAAAGAAGAGATGCTCGCTGGCTGCATGCGGGTCCCTCCGGGCTGACTTATACTGCTTTTACTTTGGTAACATTAAGTACAATTAGATGTAACAAATGATGCTGAATCTTTCAGTAGGTTCCAGCTACGTCCTGAATTCCATGCTTCAATTCTAAACTTCTCTCTGAATCAACGCAAAAAGAAATTTCAGGAAATGATGCTGTCCATTAATAATGGTTTAATTTCTAAAGTTGAGACTTATTTTCCTTGCCTTGTACTTTCTTCTGCATCTTGTCCTGTGTTGCTTTAACTCTTTTGAATATGATGCAAATAGAAAACATTAAGAGTCATCCTTTTTTGGATACAGGGTCTTGACATTTAACCCAAGCCGGCCTCGAACTCATGGTGATCCTCTTGCCTCAGCCTCCTGAGTGCTGGGATTACAAGAGTCATGTTTTTTTTTAATAGTGCAGGCACCAAGTGGAACCTTTTGAACAGCACAGAGTTTATCGATGTGATTTCATTGAAACACGCATTAATGTCCAGCGCTGGCTGAGTAGAGGTGACTTCCTGAGTCAGATGTTCTGTGGTATATTAAACCTTCACAGTCGCTGTTCACAGCTGGGGCTGTCGGACCCAGTTTACAGAAGAGGTCACCAAGGCTCTGAGAATGCATCCCTGGAGAGAGAGGCTGAACCTGGCCCTGTCTGCAGCTGCCAGCCACAGCTCTGACCGCGCCCAGCCCTGGCTCCCGCCCTTGAGCCCTTCCAGGCCCTGGGGTCTGCAGTTGGCAAGGCTGGGCCCAGGCTCCATCTCTGGCTCTGGTAGTGGGCAGCAGGCGGGATCAGGGCACAGTGTGGCATGTAATGGTGTGAGGACTGCAAATGGCACAGAGCACATGTGAACCGAGGGGCCTGCAGTTGGGAGGGAGAGAGAAGCCAGGCGTCACCCCTGCATCCTGCACGCCCAGGGTCTCTCCCTCGGTGCCCAGCTGCTCCGTTCAGCTGCCAGGCACAGGGCAGAGGAAGGAGACATTGTGCCTACACTGGAGGGTCCTCTGGGGAGCTCGGTCATCCTCTGCTGGGCAC